TACCATATTTGCGGAAGGCTTCTAATTGGTCTGTACCAAAGACAATTGGAATCTTCTTTTGACTTGATCACACGGGCAGGTCTCGAAGAGAGCACTTGCTTCATCTCGATCCTTGACATTCCACATGCATGGACACATGATATTGTATTAATGACATTAAATGCTTGGCATCTTGACTGGCACCGAGCACTTACCGTACATTCAATGCCTTTTGTCCTTGCCCTTGCCTCCTTGAGAGTTAACTATTGCTTTGATATAGACACGTGCATATAAGGAACATTTATTAGCCATTAATTGAAACCTCGGGGCTGAGTGTTCATGTGAGCATTTAAGAATGCTTCTCATGATTGGTTGCAGTGTACTTTTCTGATCTTTCTGGCCTTCTGGGGAGACTGACCCACGCATGTTGGTTGTCGAGTACAAATCTCAGTAGACATTCCTTCGATTACTCTCAGGTAAACACATATTTGAAGGTCATTTCAATGGACGAGCCTATACATGGTCCAAAGTTGCGAACGTCTCCTTGACTCTTGTCGTCATCGTTCCGTCGATGTCATCATACTCAGGACCAAGTAACACCGATGCAGAAGCTCCGAGTCACCACAAAGGTGCTTGCCACCGAACTTCCGAGAGGTGCCGACTCATTGCTTGCCCCTGCTCGACATGGTAAACTATTGTAAGTCGTTTAGGCGTTCGGGGTTCCTCTGAGGGACTGAGCATTCCTCCTGAAACAACTATCATACTTTGGGCAATCATTAATCTTTTGACAGAAAGGGGCATCAAATGTCACATGTTTGTATCTGATTACTCTGACAGATCACGCCCCATCAATAACCATTCAAATAATTGTATTTTGTTTTTTTGATTTTTTTTTCAGTTCAACAGTGAACGGTGTCTGAGCCAGCTTACCCGCACCTCGACTAATCTTCTCTCCGGTTCGATCAAAGATAAGTCATCAACGCCGAGATTAGGGTATTTATAAGAAATAAATCTTTTATAATCTAATCCCGAAAAATTACCATAAAAAACCAGTGTCAGGCTATTTTATGCTCCTCAGGACCATGGCTTGAAGTGGAAGACAAATCGGGGCTTCTTAGCTTCCAGTCTAATTAATGTACTAATTTTATTTTTTCGATGCCTCTGTTTTCACCAATCAAAATAAAATAACAAGAAAATTTAGTAGAATAATGCCAACTTCAATACCGTAGCGCTGTCTCTAAGACTGTATGGCCAAATAAGGTTTACATGGTTGTTTGGCACAAGCAAACCTCTCATCGAAGAGAGGACAAGAGTGGAGCCGAGTCACATGTTGCTGTTGGAAGACATATGGCACACTACCGTGGATTATCTATATAACAAACAGGCTACAACTTGTTGGACAGACTTGTTCTCTGTTTGTCACTTTAATTTGTACCTGAGTTGTTATAGTCTTTAGAATGATTCAAATGACAGACAAGTTTACCATAAGTCTATTTTAGAGAGGTAGGAGAGGTGAATTCGGGCTTAATTCAATTTAAAATTTTCTGTCCAAGTTTAACCTGATTATTCAAATCTAAATTCAATCTTAACCCCTCAATTGAATTACTACGAAAATTTAGTATTTTTTTTCTTTCAGTTTACACATATCGAGATTCAGCTTAAGGTTAATTCTGTGACTAAAATCGGGTTCAAACTGGATTGAAATCAATTTTACTTCATATTGCTTTTTGAGTTAAGGTTGAGATATTGAATTTCGTGTTGTGTTTCGAAAGTATATGCTACATATATAATCCAGATACTAAAAATACCAACCCATGTAAATATTTGGGGTTTAATTCAGATTGATTCACTCACATTATATCTCTAACGAGTCTTCCTTTAGTTCAATTTTCAAAAAATTATCTTAGTAATAGCCATTGAATATAGGATGGAGAATTAGTCACATGTTCTAAGAAATCAAAATTTTCTTAAGGATATGTCCATGATTTCAATTTGAGATTTGAATAAAACCAAGTAGGAGACAGCTCATCATAGTCATATACCACATTCATTTCTCCTTTTTGACTTTGATATGATTTAGCAAACTTTGTCAAAGGGGAGTGTAGGAGACATGACCAAATGGGTTTTTTTTTTCAAACTGAGAAACATTTGTTCAGTGTGGATTAAAGACTTTAGAGGTTGCTGGTCCCCTCTTCCTGGCAGTGAAGCAACCCAAAAGACACTGGCTCCATGTAGAGGTCCCAGTCCTCTTTGTGAAGTGAAACCTGTTAGAGTATTTTAACAAAAGGAGTATTTTATGGGAAACTCAATTTCACGTCGACTAATTTTTTAAAAGAAGTTGGGTCTATATATTATACAAGTATTACTTTATAATTGAGTTAAGTAAGACTTTGAGTCTCACGCGACACATGCACAGGGGTGAGACCAATGAAAGAAATACTGGTTTTTGAATGCAGCACACAGTTTTCTGGGCATAGGTCAATTTTTTGCATCACAATTTTCTAGGCATGTGTCAATTTTCTGGGCAATGGATGTCGTGTGAAACAGTTTCCTGGGCATAGGTCAGTTTTCTGGACAATAGGTGTCATGTGAAGTTTTTGCTTCACTAATTTGTGCAAATTTAAGTTAAAAAAACCATTCAATTAGACTAGATTGTTCTACATATTTGATGATATGAAAAGGGTAATAGAATGTACGAGAATCCTATTAATGTATTCACTTTATTGTATAAAGAGCAGTGAACAATATGTCGGTCTATATATAAGGCCATTTTTGTCACTCAAATCTACAACACTAGGCCACAATGGAACCAACGTTTATATGTGTCCGACATTGTGAGTCATGAACACAACCACCACACGATTGCGGTGGAAGTGAGGTGAGGGACGGTACACCTGATCCTAGATGATCCTAGTACCATACCAACTTGATAGAGAAGGTTGGATTTATTTGAGGGTTGAGCTTCCGGCAATGTGATAAGTATCCCTTAAATCAACAAGCTCTACCCCACCACATTACCATGCCCAAAGGATATGGCTGAGATAAATGATTTAACTGGAGTGAAATTGAACAAATTTAAAAACAACAAGATCTAGATCCCAATTACCAGCCATTCCTTCAATTCCACTTCAACTTCGTCTTGCATTTGGAGCGGACAATAGATCATGTCATGTCACGTAAGATTCACGTTGAATTAGATTTTACTCAACCTTCACATAATTCAATTTGTGTCGTAAATAGTCTATTCGTGTTTGGTTATGTATTACATCAGTTTGGCTGATCATCCTGATTATGATCTACACTCGTTAGAATTGGGTCAGATTTGGGTGTTTGCAGACCTAATGAGTTATGTTTAGTATAAATCAAGATCAAAATCAATACTAAAAAAGGTTAAACAAGATTTGGGCCCTCCACAATTTCAAGTTGGCACTCATTCATCCATTATTCTGTCAAATTCATAGTACAAACAAATGAATGTACCTAAGCAAAACCCAACAAACAAGCTCTTTGAATAAACTACGCTAGTTAATTGGTACCTAATTGATAGTCTATTCACTTCCATCCACATCAATAGACACCATTTAAGGAAAGTTGTAGAATTAAAAATGAATAGGTAGTCGTGTAATCCCACTTATAATTGGCATATAAAATTGCCAAAAAAGTAACCAAAGCTGACAGAGATCCAAAATCCACCTCACCTCCGCTAGAAGAAAGCAACTAAAGCTCAAATTCATTGGGTCCTCTCGAGCCACTACTACATTTTTTATACTACCGAAGAATCGACTAACCACGGATTTTTTCACTTTTATATGACAAAGAATTGACAAATCACGTATTTTTTAGACATGTGATTGTAACGTGATTTTTACAGGATTACCCACAAATCAAGCTCATCACTCTTACTAGAGTGTACGAGATCTCTTTGTAAAACTCAAATTTGAAACTTCAAGATTATAACCATATAACCTTTTCTGATGGGTTATTGATTAAAATTAATCATTTATAGGTTATCGATAATCCTATCATATCCCCTTTTCAGATGTTCCATGATTAAAGCTTTGTGTGCCTGAGACAGTTAAATTGACAGAGTGCCAGTATAGATAGTCCTGACCCAGAATGATATGATATGATGCATCCTCGTTATAACCTAGAGTAAAATTTTCTTGTCAGCATCTAACATTATAGCTTGGTGATAGAATACTAGGCAATATAAAGTTGGGTAGGGCCATTGTTCCATCTACCACAAAGAAAAGTTGGATACTTCCAATGAAACTTATCTGAAATTCTCTGTCTTGTTCATCAATTTAGAAAGCTACAAGTTGTTGACACCAGCAACATTCAACAGAAGGCCTCCCAAAATTAATGTGGCACATGGTTTACGGCTCTACCTCTGGTCCATAATGGCCCAGATGGCACTGGTCACTCCTCAAGTTTTGTATGGTTCTGCATCTGCGTTTTCAATTCGAGAGGGGTAGAAACTTCCAGTGGTTCAATTTGAAAAGAACCTAATCTCCAAAATTTATCACAATATTCTGCATATCCACTTCATTGATAAAAAAGCCTTTAAATACAAGATGATAAAAACTACCTTAATAACTTAAACCATGACTCCACTATCTTAGTAACCACCCAAAAAACTACCCACAAAATACTCTATCACTAATTCTGAGGGAACGAAAGGATGATTTTCTAGCATTCAGCACAACCTATTGTGCCCAGTCCTGCCCAGACTATTTTCATTAAGATTAAATCACAGCCCAACCCCATAAATGGAACCAAACTTGTTTCTAGGCCACAGACACCTAAGAGGATGACTGGCTGCTGATTGTCAATCCAGGCCAAAAGAACACCCATTTCACCATCCTCATAAAATAAGTCTCCCAAGACGAAAAGACATCGAGTGCCAGGCAGAAAGCAGTGATACTAACCTTTCAAATGCTGGTGTCATATGGAGGTACCCAGGTGCCAGCATGTCCAATATCAGAAGTAAATTAATGTAGCAACTTCAAATATATGCAACCCACCAAGGAATCTGTATCACTATGACATTCCTAGTAATAATCAATTTTTCACACCACCAAAATAGCAATAGGACAGAAACAAAGACTCAGATATAAGCGGTTTCCAAATATATCCTCACTAATCTAATAGACAAAATCATAACACCAAACTTATGCTGTAAAAGCTCGTACAGTGAATCAAGAGAAAAAGAGTCTGAAGGAAACAAAATTGTCCAAGGTCTATGAACATGGTACTTTGTGATATCCACAAGACCTAAGGAACTTACAAAAGAAAATGCTAGGACGAGAAACCAAGCCATCTTACTGTCTGCTCCAACGAGCACAAGGCTAGGGGAGAAAATATATGAGCAGCTTTCGGCAGTGTAGGATATGTGAGTGTGCCAAGTATGAACCAATTAAAGCTTAAGAGAGCGACTGCATCAGACGCAGATTCATTCTTTATAGTGGAGAAGAACAGGACCACACTCTTTAATGACATGCAAACCACAGTGAAAAGACCGACTACAAGAGGCATGCAAGGGTCATCAGCTTCCCAGATAATCATTCCAACCAAAAGAAATAATATTGCACTGAAAAGGCTCTGCGAAAGTGCAACCTCCCTTCGTCGGACAAGAACTTCATGCATGTCTACACTTCTGGAGATCATACCAGGTGTGATTGTGTGGATTGGCCTGCTAACTTTTGATCCTGTTTTTATGAAATCAGGCATTTCACTTTTGATCTCATCTTCCCAAGAATCTTTGTGTATCAGAAATTCTTCAAGGGTGATATCACTTCCATTATCACCAGATCTCCTTGATGAAATCCCAGAAGGAATGCCATCTTTGTCAGCATCACCTGTTTTTTGGCCGTCACCTGTGTCATCTTGACTTCTGATGCTTGAACATGCCTTAAACTGAACCTCCTTCAACTGATGATTTTCATCCTTCAGATCTTGCAGCTGTTGCAACACAGATAGAATACAATACGGAGATCAAATATCATCAGCACTGAATCAGGATGCAGTAGCTGGGCAATTTAGGAAACGTGGACCAGCATTCCCAAACTCGCTATCAAATGCGACAGTAGAAGGGAAAGTATCGAATTAATACACATCCATTTTACACTCGTTATATGATCAATGGTAGACACGGGCTTACTAGGTTAACCAAGTATTGCAGCATCCAGCTCACTCACACAAGTGGATGTCCGCATGCACATGTAGACACATATACAAGGAGACTGTGCATTAGTGTGTGCCAAAGCTCACAGATAGTGGGGCTTGCTCAATCAATAGATTCCGCAAACCTCTTCATGATCTTCATATTTGTCAACTCAGTATAATTCTTGAAGTCAAGAATCATATAGCATGCACACTGAATTCTGTATACACAATTTTACTATAGGAAAAATTAGCGTGTCTACATTTTGACATACCATTTGTCCTCACTTGTTCTGTGACAATTTGTACTACAAATGCGATACAAATAATTATATATTGAGACACAAGTATGATGTTACATGATTATTTTTCTTTCTACTCGTCCAAGGGAGACTCTTGATGACCTGATCTAAATCTTTAATCCATTTTTTGTTCCAACAATGAATTGGGTTGGAAGAACCTAGACCAGCTCTTCACTTATGTCAATTAGCTAGTCATGTAATTGTAACATGATATGCAAATCCCAGAGACAAATGAAATATTAGGACTCAGCGGGATAAAAAAACTATATCCCTTTGGTAAAAAGGATTTTAATACAAAAGTTTTATTACAAGAACCACAAACAAAAGTTTTTGAATAAGTGGATTACTACTGGAATGTTCACTTAGCATTCTTGTACTGAGATGTGTGAATGGAACCTTAGAAACATAAAATGTGGAGCATCAGAATTAAATTAGAACCGCAAAATGATCATACTTTACCTCACCCTCCATTAGTTCAATTTGGACAATAGCCTGGTCATATTCCTCTTCAAATTCTGCTAACATTACCTCCATCATTCTGCGTTCTTTAATTGCCGTCTGCAATCGTTCGTCAAGTTCCTTCCTATCCCACATAAGATATTCCAATTCAGCTTGCATCTCATGCAGATGCATTTCCAGCTGCATATCATAAGCACTGTTCTCATATAAGTAAAAGAGAACATTGAGTCAAACAGAAGAAATGCAACCAAGGAAAAGTAGAATAAAAGTACTCTGGAAAAACATAACAAAAGAAAAGGAAACAGAAACCAAAGCTAATGCAGCATAGATAATACATTCATCTTGGACTATGCGTGGCTTACCATTCAGACAATCAACCATCCCTTAGCAAATACTAAGCAGTTTCTCATTGCAAGAGAGAGAAAGACAAAGAGGCAAAAACTAAAAGTGAACTTTGAAACTAAGTGGTAGTAACTAGTAACAATAGCATCTGAGGCACAAGATAGAAACTAGGATAAAGATTTTTTTTTTTTTTTTTTTGTTTCATATTTGTTTTCTCCTGCAGTGGGAGGAAGAGAAAGGGAGGAGAGGGGAATTCCTTTTGGAAAAATAGGAGTATCAGGAAACAATAATTTAGTTCAAGCTCTAGTGCCCTAATATGCCATCCACTGCTTCGGGGTGCTTTGAGTGGGCTGGGTGGGAGTAGGGGGCGACCATACACACTCACAGAGCAGATTGCCACTCAGCGTGGTTTTGGGGCCAGTTAATTGGAAGCGCAAATTGTAGTCAGCATCCTGACCTGAGGGTATATCATTCAGGATCCTTACGCGTAGCTGAACAGTCAACAGAGGCAATTGCAACTCCACCAACCAATACTCCCAGATTAATCACGTCCAATTGAGAAGAATCTGCAGACCCTTAAGCTGGTGGCAGACAAACAAAACCAAACACTACACTAACTTTGGCTTGTCGTCATATTTGCTACTCAAAAGTGATTCACTGATTAAACCCTCCTGCCCTAAATCTGAAATAATTTATAGCGATAACAGCTATAGGCGAGGAACAACCACAAGAAAACAACTACGTATAAATCAAAAGAAGAATTTCAAGCAAGTGCCAAAAGCAGCCATTGAGAGAATATGGGGAATCAAGTTACGTCAATACTACCAAATGAATAATATTATAGAAGGCTCATGCTGAAAAGTTTTCGAGGATTTATAAAGTGACTCAAGTTTCACATTGAGAAGAGTGATCAGACTCATTCTGAAAAAAAAAGAAGAAAAAACACAGTATCCAGCTATTTAATTCTTGGCATCAGTGATTCAACTGTTGGGTCATTTCACAATACAACCAGATGGTAGAATGCTTATCCTATTCAGAAAGAGTGAAAGGAAAATAGTGTAAATGCTGTAGAAAAAACCCTCTTAAGCATCATCAAAATTTCTCTTCAATTTCAATGTTAAGACTGAGATCCAACTGAAAACTAGATGTACTTTATAATTGTATTACTCATACTGAATTTAGACAGAATTGGTACACAGTATTTCTCCAGAAAGATAATTTTAATTCTATACCAGGCCAATTTTTTAAAAGTCACCATCACCCAAAAATAGAGAAAAATCAAGACTGTCATCCACCACAATGAGAGATGCTACTCAAAATGTTTTTCAATCAAAATAAATAAATAAATAAACTTCAACGACATGCAGATCCACTATATTCAGAAGAAGAGGGGAAGACCACATACATACAAACTTAAGTTTATACACACAAAACTGGGAAAGAGTATTGTTAGTTTGAGAAGAAAAAACTAACCAGCCTCTCCCTCTGTAATGCAGTCAAAATCCGTTCAGGCAGAGTTATAAGAGCAATGGTCCATATTGTAAGTCTCAAGAGAATACACACATGGAGAGAGAGAGCTGCTTTCAGCAGCTCCATCCAGGTGTGAATAACAATGCAAATGCTTCTCAAGCCAAATATGCAAGATAGTTTAACTAGCGAGAAAGGCTTTGCCACCAAGGCTATTATGGTAGCCATCAATTCAAGAAATAACGACGTCAGATCCACCATTATGCACTAATTTTGGTGCATTCCCGCCTATGCGTCTGCCATTTGCCTTAACTAGATTTAAATTTCGTATATCCTGCATGATATAGATCACCGTAAGAGAAAACAACATATTTTGACAAGCAACTTGGGCACAAAATCATGTCAAATAGTGTCGACAATGGTCAAAATAGGACTATAATGAAGAACCATCTATGTTAATACACCATCTTGGTTCAGCATACTAAGTGGAAATTTTGCATGCAAAGATCAAAGGCATGGAAAACTTAGCATTGAGAATCTTGTTAGAGCTTATATTAGTTATAACTACAATTAAACATGAGTATTTAAAGTTCAAAACTTCCTACAACCCAAGTTCAAACAAGAAACATGTAGATACATCTTATGTAATTTAATCCACCAATTAAGGGAGCAAAAATAAATTTTCCTAGACAATGGATCCCCAAATTCTAACAAGTTATCACAGCTGATCTTGGAAAGTATCATCTGAAAGTCATGTTGATTCTTAGTGACTTCTCATCTTCCTGCACTTTGTTACTGTCAAGTCAGAACAAAATTGGTGGCTAAATTGCACTCCTTGTTCTTCATTTCTCCTTGGTTTTTTTTCTGAATGCTTTTGTGGCTAGTTCAATGGAGAATACCCAACTAGTGATATTTATTAACTGCCACTAGGAAAGGATAATAATAGTGTGTATCTGAAAAGTTGGTACTTGAATTGAATAATTGTGATTACAAGAGGTAAGTACCTATTGATGAGTAATGATATTAAAGAGATTAATCTCAACCAAGAAAAGGTCTGATCCAAATTTGATAAAACAAATACATAGCTTTCTTAAAATTTGACAACATGAATGGCTTCAAAAGACTTCAAGAATTCCTAATTTGCCATAATTAGTACTAGATGGTTGTGCTATGCAACCTAACCCAGGAACACAATGTTCAGGAACTTCCAATATTAATTTAGCTCCTTGGATCATCTATTTTGACATATTGAATGGATGATTAATTGTCTTCTCCAAATGGGCACCAGCAAAGGATCAGTGTGATGCACTAACTCTATAAACACAGACTTTGTCGTTGCCATTTAAAGTAAACAAAAGTTTAAGAGATTCAAAGATCAGCATAGAAGGTGACTCAACTACGGTTACTTCAATATATGAAATTATGCACTCAGTCATCTCAGATGGGGACTTAGGGTTATGACCTATATTTAGAGAAGCTTAAACTCATGTGCGACACACACAAAAAAAACCTCTAACCCTCAACCCCCAATATTTGCAGAAATGATGTTATTTTCCTAGTCAAATAAAACAGAAGGCAATATGTAAGAACATTGAACCCATGTCTGCCATAATCAACCTTATTGAAGATACCCTGCTCATTTCTACTCGAAGTTGTCATAAAATTCACCAATTTCACTTTTTGTTCTCAAAAAATGAAGAAAAAAGGTAAAAGAGAGGGAAAGGGAAAAGAGCAAAGGAAATAAAACAAGAAAAAAAACAATTGAAAAATGAAAGTTCCCTACAATCCTCTTCCTTTCCTTGCTATTGTCTGCTTTACAAACGGAGTCTAAAGATGGACCTAAATAGAATTCTGCAAAAAAAATGTTCTGCTTCCTGAAAAATTCGGCAATTGAAACATTCCAAAAAAGTTTATTTGATAAATATCACTCTAATTTGCCTTGGTTAATTGGCGATACGAATAGAACATGAAGTGTCAAATATTACATTTTTTTTTTATTTCTACCGAAGTTGAAATGCTCAGACTAATATTTTCAGACACTAAACCAGCAATTAAAGAGAAAGAACAAGAGTAACTGGCAAAACAAACTATATATGCACATATACATCAGATTATGCTTGCATATCTGAAATGTCTGCGTAGAAGCCCTATAACCCTATTTTTTTTTGTTTCAAGAGTCAGTATCTCAACGGCTTATACATGCCCCTCGACTAATCTCCTCCTTGACCGATAAAAGAGAGGTCATTCACGTTGGCCGCACCCAGGTTTGCCAAAATTCAACCTCAGAAAGGTTTACAGCTATTTGGGTTCTAAAACCCTAATTTCGTTATGGGACTAAAGACCAGTGTACTAGGTATGTTACACATTGTTCTGCAACAAGAGAAAAAAAAAAAAGAAACAACATGGTTTCCAGTAAATGAACAACAACTATCATCGTCTCTCGCCAACACCAAGTCAACACAGTCCACAGACCAGAACTACATTCATCACATTCGCGCGTGTTTGTTTGGGATGTTGGGGGGTAAGTACAGGAGAGCAAAATCAACTATATTTATCACACACATACGTGTGTGTGTGTGTGTGTGAGAGAGAGAGAGAGAGAGACAGACAGACAGACAGACAGACAGAGACAGAGACAGTGTTACTTTATGATTTGGAGTTCACCAATTGAGGCGGAAGGTGAAAGCTTCGTCGAGTAGAGCAGAGAGAGAGAGAGCCTGGGTGTGCGATATGCCGATGTGGGTACTGAACTGAGGAGTGAAAAAGAAGAGGTGGCGACACGTCCGAAGTAGGCATGCGTGACACGTGGGTAATATATTTTATTACTTGTGTCATGGGTCGGGTCATGGCCGAGTGGGTCGAGTCATAAGTCAGGTCGGGTGTATTAGTGTGTGCCTTTTGGTGTACTAATGTGTGTATTTTGGTATATTAATGTATATGTGTGTATTTTTTAATATATTAGTATTTGTATTTTTTAGTATATTAGCAATGCAACACGTGCTTTACATGTGAATAATTTTCGTATACACAATATTAATAAAAAATATTAGACATATGTGTACCTACATTAAATATTATATCAAATTTATCAAAAATCATATTTTTATAGTTTGTATTATATTATAAAATTAAAAAAATATTTTCTGTTTTCAGCGATTTATTGTTCTAATAATAAAAAAAAAGATAAAAATAATTTATTTGAAATTCGTTTGATTAAGTTTCAACTTGAATAAAAAAACAGTAATTGTCAATATCCTTATGTCAATAAGGATAAAATATATGGTTAATAATACTTTGTGTCTCTAAAATATGCATTTTTTTTTGTCAATTGCATCCTTAATATATAAATTTTATCAATTTGATTCATAAAATATTCAATTCTTTTTTAAATGTCCTCCTAACTAGACGATTCATTAAATTTTTTTATGAAAATGACCACATGTAATTTCATCATTTATTATACTGTGACCAATATGTGATTATTTTTGTCAAAAACTTAACAAATTGTATGTGTAAAGATCATTTAAACCATTAACTTCAGAGATAAAATTGATACAATAAAAGACTAAACTGACAAAACATGAATATTTCAGAGACTAAAAGTGCTATTAACCCTAAAATATAATACACTACTTTATAATATATATTTTAAAAGAATATTAAAATTCTAAAATTCAAGTTTTACTTAAAAATATACTATAATTTTTTTTAGATAAACTTTTAATAAATCATGAAAATTTTACTGTGATTAAAGAATTATGTTAATTTAATATTAATTATTTTTTAAAAAACTATATAAAAGATTATTTTGTATCTTAAAAATGAAATGGTTAAAATTTTAGATTAAAAAATATATACATAAATAATCATAATGTTATTTTTATATTTGAAATGAGTAATGTTATATTAATGAAAGTTTTAAAGATTTTTTGAACACTTTATTGAAAACTATAATTATGCATATATTTTTTAAGGGTAACGTAGTCAATTAAAAATTTTCATAGATATTAATATTCATACATAATGAATAAAGAATTAAAAGAGATATTATAGATAATTTAGAGATTTAAACATATAAGTATATGATAGTAATTTAGATATTTAACTACGGAAGAATAATATGATATTTAAAATTCTTTATAAGAGTAAAATAATGAATCAAAAAATTTTTATTCTTAGGTACTTTTATTAGTAGTATAGATAAAAAAAAATACATATATAGACACAATGTTATTTTTTTATTTGAAAAAAGTAATGATCTATTGATAGATTTTTTGAATACATTATTGAACACTATATTGTTGCATATATTTTTTTAAGGGTTGCGTAGTGAATTAAAAATTTTCATAAATATTGATATTTATATAAAGATAATAGAGAATTAAAAGAGATGTTAGAGGAAAATTTAAAGATTTAAATATATAAGGTTGTGATTATAATTGAGATATTTAACTATAAAAAGATAATGTGGTATTTAAAATTCTTTATAAGGGTAAAATAGTAAATCGAAAGTTTTTTATTTAAGTTACTTTTATTAGTAGTATAGATATAGATTAATATGTTTAGAGTTTTAATTAAAATAAATCTTATTACTCAATTCATTTAGAATCCATATTAATTAACTAGTTATTGTCTATGCCTGAAGGAACATAGTAATAAAAAATAAAAAATAATAAACATATTTTTATTTATATTCAAAATCAAATCACAAACATAGAGAAGAGATAAAAGAATTTAAACATTGGTTTATAGTGGGGGTGAGAGGTGGTGGGCGACAATGGTGGTGGTAGGAGACGGTGATGGTTGTGGTGGTGGTAGTAATGGTAGCGATGACAGTGGTGGTGGTGGCGGCGACGGCGATGGTGGGGGTGGTGATGGCAGCGGCTGCAACGACGGTGGTGGTGGTGGTGGTTGCGATGACGATGGTGGGGGGTGGCAGTGGTGGCGATGACAGAGGTGGTGATAGAGGTAGTGGTGGAGCGGTGCAAAACAATATTTTTTTTAAAGTACTTATGAGAAAAATTTCTAAAAACACTTTTAAAAAATTACTCAAACACACCCTTAGGGGCTTATTTTTTCCTATTAAATTTGGAGTTTTAATATTAGTCATTAGATTAACTTTAAAGTAAAATTTAAACCGATCTCAACCACGAATAAGAAAAGTCATTTTGTTTATCTTTTGAGATTTGAATTGTAAACTACTTTATTATATAGACTAGTTATTGCATGTGCCTGAAGGCACATAGTAATAAAAAATAAAAAATAATAAACATATTTGTATTCATATTCAAAATCAAATCACAAATATAGAGAAGAAATAAAAGAATTTAAACATTGGTTTTTAGTAGGGGTGAGAGGTGATGGGCAACAATAGTTGTGATAGGAGACAGTGATGGTTGTGGTGGTGGTGGTAGTGGCGGCGGTGGCGATGATGGTGGTGGCGGCAATGACAGCGATCGCGACGACAACGATGGCGATAATGAGGGCAGTGGGGGTGGTGATGATAGCGGCGGTTGCAACGACAGTAGTGGTGGTGGTGGTTGCGATGGCGATGGTGGGGGTGGTAGTAGTGGCGGTGGTGGTGGAGCGATTTAAAACAATTTTTTTTTTAAAGTACTTATGAGAAATAATTTCTAAAAACACTTTTAAAAAATTACTCCAAACACATCCTTAGAGGCCTATTTTTTCCTATTAAATTTAGAGTTTTAATATTAGCCTTTAGATTAACTTTAAAATAAAATTTAAAACGATCTCAACCACGAATAACAAAAGTTATTTTGTTTAGTTTTTGAGATTTAAATTGTAAACTACTTTATTATATAGATATAAATACTCAACCTATTTACTTATAGACAGATTAAACAAGTTAATGAGTAATATGTTAAAATTGCCACATCTAATTTCAAGTCTAATTCAAGGGTGCATTGCTTCTTTGTTCTTCGAATGATTAAGTTACTTCTTGACAAAGAAATGCTTTGGCATGCGCATGTAGAACTGTATAATCATGAAAGCTCCGATCACAAAAGAAGAGCATAAATAAAAGATTTGCCAAATTTCATTTCAATAAACCCAAAAAGAAAAACCATCATGTGAAGGACTTATTTGGACTTGGTGGTGCAATGTGGGTAAATACTACTCCCATTTACAGGAAGATGGAGTTCACAATTCAAGTTCAACCAGAACTTAACCGACCCAACAAGCCCAACTCTCCAACGGGTCTTCGTAGCTCCTTTCAGATCAAATGACATTCGATTTTGCCTCAAAGACAAGTTCACAGTCTCCGTTTCCCCGAGGCTTAATGGTATAGACGACGATTTAACAAGGTAATTGAATTCAATGGAGCTATTCTTCCTCACATCAAATGGGTCAGCCCCCAATTTTGCTATCTCCACGCCATAAAACCCGAGAACGTAGCTCATATCATAGAAACTTGTGTGCGCTTTTGCATTGTCATTCACTACCTTGATAACAATGGAGATTTTAACAGAGAGTGTTCTGGCCTGGTCATAGTATATGTTGTCGAGATGGGCATACGTGACACTGACGGACGGCATCTTCGGCCGCTCCACAACGTAAATCACGAACACGACGATGCCAACAATTATCACTGCTATGGCTAATACGGTGCAGATAATGGCAAAGCACCAGATTAGAGGGTTGGTGGGTCGTTGTGGGCGTAAGACTAGCTTTGGCATTGGGAAGTGATGGTTGGTGCCCGTAGAGAGAGAAAACAGATTTTTGTATTATATGTTGCACAGATGATGAATTAGCAGCCCCATTAACCTTGCCAAGGTATGGAGTAAGCATTGGTTCTTAGCATTAGTTGGTGGGAAAGGTTAGGTATCTTGCTTTCCCAGGCACAAAGCAACATAACTATCTGCTATAGGTGTCTGTTACTTGAAAACTTCGACCCTTTACCCTGCAAAGAACTACCAAACTTGCATAGCCACCATATGCTAACAGGCGATATTGCATCGAAAATTACAGCCCAAACAAGTTAAATTATGAAATAGACCAAATTACAACCCAACAACGTTCAAATACAATTGATTCAAAAACACAAAGAAATCTCAACTTGTCAAAATCGATCCCAAGTTTCCCAGGATAGAATCGAGAACGTAAAACACAAAATATCTGTGCAATGGGATCATTTTCTTCTATTTCAAACAACTATTAGGTCCAGCTTAACAGATTCCACATGGCAACCACCAATCTCAACAATGCAAAAAATATGAAAATACTCAGCCCACAACGATGACGACACATGAACTCTATTCCATAAGCAATATTCCAATTCACTCACCAGTCACCACGCCTGAAAACTCTAGAATTTCTCTCAAACCAGATAATCCAAGCAGTAGCTAAAAATAGCTAGAACTGCGCACTTCCAAAGAATGTCAGCAGACATATTGATCAAAAGACCTTAATGATGTACAAAATAACTCAGAAGAGAAAATGATAACATGAAATCCATAACTGTCTTTGACAACCATAAGAACTCAAATCACTAATCGTTCCATCACTTTCAACTGCCATGGCTGTATTGCACCACAATGCTACAGCAGCTTATAAGTTGTATCTTCTCACAAGAATAGGGCAATCTTCATCAATTCTTGTACTTTCATAATTGAACGTTCTGAATAACAACAGAATGGCACTTCCAATTATGTGCTTAGAAATGTGGAAAACTATTAACTTTATTTGTTTAATTCATACTAGATCTTCTACTTGTATAAACATTTGCATGTAGCATAGTATTCTGTCTAGAATCTTATGAACGTCACGGCATTGCATGGATGCTTAAACAAGTATCTCTAAGTAAGCAACAGGAGAGAGAATATTCAATAGGCACTAACAGCCAGTAGAGAGAAAGTGGAGTGAGGCATGGGGATGGGTTGGACAAAATGTTAAGGTGAAATTTACCATTAACGCAGAATAGCACCTTCAGGAGCCAATGAAGGCATTGATCAGCCACCATTATGCACTTTCTAAACATGTTTTTGTTCATGAATCAGCAGAGCACTTTTATGGCTGTCCAAGTTTTGGCACCCAAGAGATATCTAAAGTTAACTTTGCATGCACGATGCAAGACCCATTGAAAGACTAAATCCAAGCAAATAAAGGTGGCACTAAATAACAGACAAACATCTAGAGAATATGACTAATACCTTCTGATAAATAAGACCTATGATGCATTCAGTTGATTTGATATTTCACGTAGACATTTTAAGAGTTTGCAGTTTGCGTTCAAAAATAAATAATTAACTGAAGAACAAGAGCTGCCATTCTTTTTATAAGATTGCATGTAAGTTGTTTTCTGGTAAGTCTCAAAAAAAGTGTTTTCTCGCAGAACCTAAATCAGCTTTCATGGTTACTAGTTACTATAATTAAAACCAACACCATAACAGATTCTTCGTTTCGGAAGAAAAAAAAAGGGGGGGGGGGGATAGCCTCCTTCATTAATAGCAAAAGATAATAACCCAGCTCAGGACCCATCACTAGGCATGAGATCTAATACTCACTCCTTATAAACAAAAAAAATTCTTACAAAGAAAAAAGCTTCGTAAGTTTGAACTTTCATCGCCAACATCAAAGTTTCTTGGGTGACTACACAAGGCAGTTTTCAAACACCAACTGGGGAAACTTCTACCAACAACCATGAACGTCTCATGGCATAGGCAAAAGAAGCAAAAGGCAGAGGAAACAGATGAAGCGCAGGAGAGGAATTGGATGCCACAGTCCGAACGAGGTGCAGAGCAGACAAGGTCTAAAATGAGCAACTAAGCCAAATAAATAATATTTCGTCAAAAGACTTTAAGGTACATACCTGAAAATTGTCGAACAAGTGACAAACGAACTTGCTGAAACTGAAACTGCCGTGGCTTAGCCCATGTGTGCATCACTGCCTAATCACTGGCAAATATTTCATGTAAAAAAACATGAAGGCTACTCAAGAAATGGGGTATCCTTATATGCATCCAGCTAAGACTGGCTTTATGTGATTAGTAGTCTCAAACCAACTCTCTTGTACATCTTACTATGCCTTCACTAAGCTAGTCACCTGAACAAGCCGCCTCAGCCTAAGCTGAGGCATGTCCATTTTAAAGACAAAACACAAGGAAAAAAGAATACCTCCCCCCACCCCCCAAAAAAAGTGCAAAATATGGGGTGCCCATTGGAGGCAGATATTCTGGGTGTAGCCTGATCTGCACCATTCATCCAATCAAGGATGTTGCCATTGGGGGCAATAGGAAATCTTATGCATTAACCACAGACTCAGAAGCCATGTGCAGTGCTTGCGTGCTTTGACCTTTCTGGCACTGCGATGGGGCAACAAGCAGAAATGGAAAACACTCAATGTCAAGTCAAAAAGATGTATACATTAGTATCATCCAAGCGCTCAAAATTGCTAACCATAACACCACTTCAGTTTAAAATCAAGGTTACAGAGGGAATAACATCTTGTGTCCTAGTAAGTCTGACGACTTATTTTCTTTGTTAAACTTTGTAGAGGTTAGCCCATGAAGGCATTACTCCTCAAAAAAAAATTACAAGGAAAACCTACCAAGTTTAAAATCAAGCTTCTGTGCATAATTACAATGTAAAGGCATAATTACAATGTAAGGCAAACTTCTGTGAATAACAACTAAGGAATGATTGTTCAAGATGGACTTCAGAACCTTAAGTAGGTTTTCCTTCTAATTCCTAAGAATTTTTTAATGATCGGTCATTAGGCCCCAAATACAGCCACAAGGTTCTAAAGTCCATCTTGAACAATCATTCTTTAGTTTTTTATGCACAGAAGCTTTCCAAAACATTGGTGCCTATCATGATATTTAGTTCCTTGCGACAATTGAAAATACTCAATTCAATGCCTGGGTTTGCACCAATTTCTAGTGTAGCATGCCTGCCATGGACAACCCTTGCACCATTCCAGAGATTCTTGTCCTTAGCACGAAGTTTTCTGATAGACTGCTCTCTCTTACTCCATCTGTGCACTGGGCCAAATTTAAGCCACCTAAGTACCCAAGCATGCTGATGCCATAACAAACCAGAAGCATGAATATTTATCATATACCTAACTTAGATGAGGATCCATCTGCAAGCAATATGTTTGCTAAGGCATAGGCTGAAGTTTTGTCAGGAAACCCAGAGAGCAACACCAAACCATGACATTGCCGCAACATCTGTTGACTGTGCACCTATCTCTACTTGCTTTTCTCACTTGAATAATTAAATAGCAGGGTCTCGGAAAAGAAAGAGAAGAAGAAAAGAGTTAGAAAGAGATCATGAAACAATATTGTGTGTAGGACGTGTATTGCATACACACTATCACCAATTTATATTAGTCTGATGATAGAAAAATATCACTCTAACACTCTCCCTCAAATTGGAGCAAAGAGGTCAAAAATGCCCAGATTGGAACAAATGCTAGTAAATCTGACCTGCACCAATAGTGTGGTAAGAATATCAATGAGTTGATCACCGAACTTGACAAACGAGGTCACAAAATCTCCACGTAAACAATAGATAATAAAATCGAGCTCTAAGCAACTGCTTCAAACCATACAGAGACGTTTTTAATCGACACTAACTACCACGATACTCCCGATACTCCCCCCTGAGCAACAAACACAGCTGGTTGCTCTATATCAAGTCTGCGGCATGTGCTGATCATATTTCTCCCGTGATATGTTGATATGCTGCGAGCCACAACCAACTAACACTGCTAGAAGACAAGAGTGGCGAGACGAACAACACAAAACCTACCAAAAGCACATCACTGACATCGACCAGTCACAAAGACAAATAGAAACTGCAATTCCAACACACCGCACAATGATGAACAGAGAAGCCATGACAGTGACAAGCAACAACATTCATGAAAATTGCAATCGCTAATGAATAATGGTCAGGAAAATCACAACACATATCCACACTGTTTATTTTTGCGTAAAGACACAATTCACAACTAGTCTTGTTCGAAGACAACAACGATAAGGACATCCCTTTGATTTTCCAAATAAGCAATCGACGATCACACTAAAACAAACAATAGCAGATGACAATCATGCTGACACAGGAGAAAAGAACAAAAAACAAACACAACAACACCAATACCAGCACCAACAACAACAATACCGACAAAAATGAATGCAACCATAACATTACAACGAATCATATGCAACAATAAATTCAATCACAATAATAAAAAATAATTCAATCACAATAATCAAAAATAGGGTAAACCAAACAAAACTCAATTTAATCAGCCAAAAAAGGTTGAAACAGTGCTAGAAAACGCAAAACCTATTTTGTGCCAGCTTGAAAACTCTAAATTTGACACTAAACTAGGCAGAAAACGAGTTAGCCAACACTAAACTAATCTAAAAATATTAAACCAACACCAAACTGACCTGAAAACCACTGAATTGATAGTAAACCAGACTAAAAACATTGAACCATGATGAAAATCACTAAAATAGCACCATACCAAGGCGAAAACCACTAAACTGACACTAAACCGGACTAACCATTAAGATGACAACCACCGGTGTACACAAAGGCGACTACGACTTGATGTATGCACGGCCGATTGAACCACAAGGCGAGTGAGACACTCGCCTAGGGCTCACTCACCCATGTATCTTGCTTTGATACCAAATTAAAACTTGAATAATTGAATATTAGGATTTAAAAAAACTGGAATAATTGAATATTAGGATTTAAAAAAGAAGAATAGAACAAGAAAGAGATTATGAAATAATATTATGCGAAGAATGCGCATTGTCTACACTGTACACCCTATCACCTATTAATAATATATTGATATTGAAAATAATTACAATATTGGGAAAGTAAAACATAATAGCAAAGTAGCATAATAAGAATGTAGAACAATACAAAAATAACATAAGAGGAGAGTAATACTCCAAGACTCTTAATTACAATATTGGGAAAGTAGAACATAATAGCAAAGTGACATAATAAGAATATAGAACAATGCAAAAATAACATAATAGGAAAGTAATACTCCAACACTCTTGTCATGGTTGGACCCTTGGCTTAGTGGCCAAGGCATCCTCAATGGACATGCTATGTGCTCTTGCCGGGCCATATGAAACATTAAACTCAATTGTGTTGTCTTCAAAATTCAAAGATGCTATTCCAAGTGTTCCACCATCGTCAAACATGTGCCCCCAAGCCAAGGATCGAAATTTCGTTTCAAAGTACCGTTTCGGTCAGCTCAAAAATGGAAACGTTTCAGAAACGTTTTGAAAACGCAATGAGAACGCAGAAAAAATATGAAAACGCATAGAAATACAAATACAATCCATTAATTTATAAAAATAAGTTAAATAATTGATTAATTCAACATATTTATTAGGTTAACATCAGTTTATACAAGAATAAATTTAAATTAGAGGAAAAAAAAGGCTTGACATGAGGCAAAAATCACTTAAATTAGTTTCAAACACTTAATTTTTATGAAATAAACACATTTTTACATAATATTAAGGTCTTATAATACACATGAAATACTAATGAGTACATACTTACATGGCTATATCCATCCCCCTGTGGAGTGTCAAGCAGGCTCATACATCGATGTAGGCTCTGAGTAGCTATTTAGAGAAACTCTATATGTGACATAAATATGATGACAATAGTTACTCCAACTCATATTATTACGATAATATTATCCAATTAATAATACTAATAATGAAGGGTATCAAATTAAATTAATAGTACTTATGTATACTTAAAAATTAAATGTAATTGCAGTGGGTATTAAATATAAGTACATTAGGGTATTAAATGTAATTGTTAATACTTATAACAAAAAAAAAAAAAAAAGACTTGCGCAACTGTGGGGTATTAAATATAATTATAGTAGGTATTAAATATAATTATAATGGGTATTAAATATAATTACAGTAGGATATTAAGTGTAATTATTTATTCTTATAACAAAAAAATTATAAAAGGCAGAAGAGCAGTGGGAATTAAATATAATTAGAGTGGGTATTAAATATAATTACAGTGGGTATTAAATGTAATTATAATGGAGTATTAAATGTAATTATTCATAGTGAACCGAATATATCACTGTTTCGTCGAAACGGTCCGAAACAGTGCCGTTTCGACCGAAACACTGAAATTTTGTAATTCAACTACTGTTTCGTTTCGGAGTATTGAAATTCTGAAACGTTTTGAACGTGTCGACACGACATTTTGATCCTTGCCCTAAGCACACCATGAGCTGCAACTACACCTTAGGATGTGCTAAATCACATTGCCATTGCCTCCGCAAAAGAAAAACATCATTATTCTTTAAAGATGCTATTTCAAGTGTTTCACATTTGGGACCAAACCATGCCCATGGGCTTGCCATATGTTATTGTCCTGCCTCAAGATGCACCACCACCAGGTAGGAAAATCAACAAAATTTGCTGATACCCTGGCCTGGCTTTTACACAACTTCGTCATCACAATGTTATGGTGCCGGACTATTGCAACAAGCATGTCATTTACAACACACACAAAAGATTTGCCAAGCCTCCTCCCGCCAAGATAACTTTCTCCTTGTTGGAGCCGTAGGAAGGTACTCTCCAATGACGTCTCAACTGCCAATTAGCCCTCTGAAGAATGTTGGCGTGTTTTTTTGGGTTTCATAGTTAGGTTTTCTGGGAAGTATTTATTGAATAAGGTCAAAATCTATAAAAACACCATGGACAAAGGAAGCACCCAAACTTCCAAAAATTTCCTTAAACTTCCAACAATAAGACCAAAATTTTCTTAAAAAAAGTAAAGCCCCCAAACACACTATTGAGAAGGTCCCCAATACTTAAATAGTAATGTTCTTTTGGTTTATTGAATTTGGTGCTTTTGTATAACTGATTCATAACAAATCTGGTCGCTAATATATTGTTTCATGGACAAGATTTTGGCTAATCCAACAAAAAACTTTTTAAAAATTGCTAGCTTCATTCCTAAAGAACGCAATGCTTTACATGGAGTGCATGAGCTTAAAATGTGCTCTTTTCCTTACCTTATTTTTTTGGCTTCTTATCTAAACTAATGATTAACGCTGGGCAAGAGAAAGGAGAATAGGTATGTCCTGCCAAAACTTCTCCCACACCAAACTAACTGGCTCCACCAATCACTTCTATTCCTTCAATCAGATCCAATAGGTATTAGGTATATTTTCTTTAAAGCCTGCCACACAAAGCTTTCGGTCATGGACTAGGAATGGAAATCATTATCATGATATTTTCAAAAATAATTTCTACTTTGATATTTTGAAAATATTTTGGAAGAAGAACCAACATTAAAATTGTCACTTTGCTTTATGTTTTTCATGACCCCAAAAAACGAACATGTTCATATGATAGAGCCAAACTCACCTCCTATTGCCAGAAACCACATAATCAATCCTTAAGCTATTCTCATAGTCATTCTTCTTGATGATCTGAAATGGCTACTGTACCAAGCCCTAACCAATTTGTGATCATCGGTGGAAATTGTACCAATGTTACCTGGATTGTGGTCCCTTTGTTACATGGTATGGATACTGGTATGCATTACAACTTTGTCTTAAGGTGTTACCTAGATCACATTGAGCGGGAACAGGAGCACGAGTGCAAAAGCGCAAAATTTCAAAAAAAATTGAGAGCAGGACCATCATTAAGAACATTAAATTTATTTAATACAATTTTGTCTAGTAATTAGGCCCAGCACATTAGCAGTGAGTTAGCAAGCTTTGTCAAAAATAAGATATAAGTTAGCAGGAAGACAGCAGTTAACAATGATCCCACACCGGTAGTGCAGCAGTAAGAGCAATGAAAACATAGTTATAAATACTAATTCATCCCACGTCAATAATGCATGGGAAAATAGTAGGGGACACAACTAATAAATAGACCAGGTTTTTCCATTCAGTGTCCAGTAATTGGACCTTATCTTGGGGCCCAACACATTGGAATATAAAATTTTTTAGTTGGGTCAAGGTCCAACTAAATAGTTAGCTTAAAATTTTGTGAAATTGTGGAATGGATCCCGAAAATTGTTCAATTCCCAGATTGTTAAAAAGAATTCGCAGATTTAATATTTTGAATCCAGGAATTTGTACTGAATCCGCCCTAAATTCGCGAATTCATGATCCGAGCACAAATTAGTTGAGCTATGTGAACGAATCGGGTGATCTAGGGCATTACACAAGACATCTACCATAACTCCTAAGTCGAACCTTCAAATTATTCTACTACTTCATTGTTCCATATTTAGAAAAGTGGTAGTTCTGCAACATCACCTTGTCTTGAAGAGACTGCAACCGAGGCATAACTAGAACTTTGACCCTAGTGATTGACTGATTACAGATGACTTGAAAACAATCTAATCCATCCACCAATTCTCAAAATATGTGCTTTTCCCTACAACCCACAAAATTCACCTCTTCATTGGTTGATATGAATAGTGACACAACAATATTAACTTTGTCACCATCTCGTTGTCAGCGACTGCAAAATTATGAGGCATGCCTCCACACTTCTTAATTGAAAACTCCTCATTCTAATCACTCCAGGAAGTACTAGGGTGTATATGTGTAGGTTCATTCAATCCACGTCCCCCATGATCATCAGCAAGACTTTTGTATATTGTAATTGTTTTGTCATACAAGAAAGTGCTGCAAGGTGGATGTAAACTTAGTTGCAACTGACATAGCTCGAAGTAAAAAATGGACCAACCAAGTCAAAACATCAAAACTTATCAGTAATAATAGTAGTAACCACAAACTATTTAGGGAAAGTCGTATCTCCTATGTATGCAATTGAAGCCTCAGAAAAGAAACATGAGTGTGGTGAGGTTACAGGAAGGAGGAGGACTACCCCTCAATCTGCAGCACACTGCTGGACCCCAAAAAAATAGAAAAATAGAAAAATAGAAAAAAGAAACACTTAGGAAGGGAAACTGAAATTAAACAAGTGTGAGACAAATAGGGCAAGACCACAGAAGAGTAAGACAGCTACCAGAATCAGTGCAACGGAACAATAACAAGGAAATAGAATGCATTCCATCCAACACGATTTGAATAAAGAAGCAGTGTGACCAAGAAATGGTAAAACCATGTCACATGCAAAGTTTTTTGCCACATTTCTAAGATGTCTCAAATATTACTGAAAATGAAGTCAAATTTTCAGAAGTCAAATTTTCAAAAGCCTATCAAGAGAAGAACTTTATTCATATCATCTAGGAAGTTTTTTCCACTTCCTTGAAAGATGGTCATATGAATCACGGGCACTTCTACCCTCCTTATAGAAAGCATTCTTCACCTTCTCCATTGTTGACTCATAAATATTAATTCTTCTGTCAAGCATATTCTCTGCAAACCTCCTCAAATCTGTCAGCCTCCCCATATTACAAAGCCCAATCAGCAACGCATTAGCACCATCATCAAGAGGTGAAACATGGTTCTTAACCATATATTCCCAAATGTCAATAGCCATCTGAGGGTCATCGCCATCAAACAACATTGCAATTGCTGCGGAGCAATTCAAATGAGTTGGAGGGCATTCATTCTTGATCATCTCAACAAAAAACTTCCCTGCTACACGAACCTTCTTGTTCTTGATCAAACATTGGAATATCATGTTATAGGTTAACGAATCAGGAAAAGCCCCATAAAACACCATCTCATCCAGAAAGCGAAATGCATTATCAACGTCCTTGTTGTTGCAAAGCAATCCAATAATGGCGTTGTACATTATCAAATTAGGGACCAACCCACTACCCACCATTGTATCCCACAATGGGATAACATGAGTGGAATCATTCTGCTTAACAAGAATATCAAGAGCATTAGAAAAGAATTTCAAACCTGGCAAGCAGTTCTTCCCCTTCATAACTCGCAAAAACTTGATTGCTTCCTCAACTTGTGCCCCACGAACAAGCGTAGTCAAGAAAGCATCATAAGCAGACATGTTTAGCGGACTCCAACCGACCCGAATCACCATTTCTCCGAAAGTATTTTTTGCCTTCGCCACATTCCCCTCCTTCTCCCACCCTTCTAACAATATAGCAAAACTATCCATGTCCGGGGCAATCTTAGCCTTAATTCTCTCAAAAAACTCTAATGCTTTCATTGTTTGATTATCTTCTGTACATATAGCACTCAACAAAGAATTTACGGCTACAATATTGGGTTGAATTCCATACCTGTCCATTACATCAAACGTCATCGTAGCTTCATTGAACCTTCCTGCAGTGCAGTAGCTCCCAAAAACAGACACAAATGTGGCAATTGATAGCACACCCTCTTGCTTCATGGACCGAATGGCATCCCACATAGGCTCAAACATTTGATTCTTCCCAAGTAGATCCACCATCAGACTCCACGCATAGGCAGAGTGCTTGTGAGTCAACCCGGCCCACCGGAAAAACTTCACCGCGGCAGAGGGAGACCCGTATGATAGTTTGAGGACTTCTTCGACGATCTCCGGGAGGGGTTGGATTCCGGTGGAGGAAAGCGCCGACTCGACGTCTTGGGGAGGAGATTTTATGAGGATTTCGCAGAAAATTTTTGCTCTGAGAGACACATCTGGGGTTTCAAGATATGTTGGATAGTGTTGTGGGTGTGAGAGAGGTACACTGGATGGTCTGTGGGTAGGGTTTTCAGATATAGCCTCCATTGGTAAAACCCAGAAAGTTAGGTACTTACAGCTTCATATTTGTGAGAGTGAATATATATAAACTGAATTTGTAAGAATATGAAGATGGGTGTTGGAAACTTTTAGTGTATTTGCAGGATTTGAAGAAGCTACATAAAAATCGAAGTGTGCTTGTGTATGTGTGTGTGTTTGCTAGAGAGAGAGAGAGATAGAGAGAGAGAGAGAGAGGGAGAGGGAGAGGGAGTGGTATGTGAACGTGTTGATTCGCCGGAAAAATTTAACCGGTGACGCAAAGAATTGGGGTTAAGTGGTTGTTGATGACGATGTCAAGATGAGTAATTTTTAGGAAAAATTACATCTAAACTCGTTAGTTTTGTCACTTAATTATTTAGATCATTAACATTTGAAATATTATTCACACACTTTATAAAGTTTATATATGCAAAATATCTAGACCCTTGTCATTAATCCGTTAATACATCTATTAGCAAATTATACTCAAACTCCCAAAAATTTAAAAGCAAGTAACATTTATAACTCTCAAATTTAAAATATTATATTTATATTTTTATTAGTTACAAAACTAAAAAAATTTATTAAACGATCAAAATATTGCAATTAAAAATAAAAAATATTGTATTCATTACAATTTGATCATTTATTTGGGTTTCTTTAGTTTTATTTTAATAAACAATATAATTATATGTAAATAATTGTTGAATTAAATTTTTTTGATATATTTACACTGATTACTATTTTTTCCTCAAAAAATTAAAATTTTATTTGATGATGAAAAAATTGACCGAATGTAAAAAGTTCATTTAGTTCAAGATGCTCTAGGTATGTCACTCCTAGCTTCTAAATACAGTTCATCTTTTTGAGTCACTTAAGGATTAAGCATTGTAGTATCTGATGATGCACAAAATGATTTTTGCACACCACCTGTCAAGTGTGAATAATAAATGCAAGAAAATAATATTAGGAGATGGAGAGACACATGCAATTTATAGTGGTTCGGTCAGCTCGACCTATGTCCACTCTTTAATGGCTTTGGTTGCCGAGTATTTTATTAACTCAAGGGTGTGGAGAACAGGAAGTACAAACTTTGAGGGAGATGAGAGAGTGGTGCTCAGGTTAAGTATGATCTGCCCCCCAAGTGTTGGTGGGGCTTACAATTTATAGTCGCCCTCCCAACAGATTTAGGCAAGATATTAGTAAGTAATTGACTAATTTGTTGGATCTGGCGAGCTTTTCTCAACGAGCAAGGCAGTTGTGGTGCTCTCCATGAGATTGGTCAAAGAATGAGGTGGGGTGTTGATCATCTCCAGGGCAACGAGGATAAAGCTTTGGATGACCTTACTTGTTCCCTTAGCTCCTTGAGCTGCTGAGCTTGACCGAGCTGACCACACTGATGAGCTTGATCGGATTGGCCACACTGGGCTGGGTTCGCTAGATCTCTTGAAGTCGGACGATAAACTTGAACTAGGCTTATAATATGAGTTGAGCCTTTGGGCTTGACCCATCAGTATCGATCTCCAGAGTTCTCCTCCGATCTCTAACTTTTTTTCAGGTGATTAAAGTCTAATAAATGGACTTTGAGGTCATCTAAATTTTGGTATCAACAATACTAATTATAATTTTTTTGAAGAAAAAATTAAAATTTTATTTTATTTCAATAAATGACATAAAAGAACATGAATTTTAGTTGTAAAATTTAAAATATTTAATATTTTATTTTTAATTAATGTATTTTTGACTAAGTGTGATATTTTAAACTTAAAAAATTTAAATATTGTATACTTCAAATTTCAGGGGTTTAGGTGTAATTTACTAACAAATATAAATTAAATTTATGTGCTACTATAATGAGTTTGTGTATAATATTTTAAACATTAGAGGTCTAGGTGATTAAGTAACAAATTTTAAGGGGTCTGGGTATAATTTTTCTTATTTTTTATTTTTGGGCAGGCTTATTGGTTATTTACAAATTGCCCCTCTACTTTGGGACAATTACATTTTATTGTCAAAAATTCATATGTGACACTAAACAATACGTTTCAATAAGTTTATCCGATTATCTCAAATAGACTTATTCAATAACCATCAATATTGTTCTTAAAATTATTCACATTATATCGTGTCTTTAGGCACGAGTTATCTTTAATTTGACGATAAAATGCAAAGAGTTGTAGGAGTGAAACTCTCTCCGAAATATATTTCTTTATATTTTTTTTTCATTTGATAGATTATCATCTAAGGCAAATTTAGGTAAAATTGTTGTTCAAATAATTGAATTTTTTTGTCTATACACTATCTCCAATAGAAATTTGAACCATTATCCAAATTTTAGTAAAAAGTAAAAAATTAAAATCTTAATTTAGTATAGACATCTTTAACAAAGAAACTCAAAATTAAAGAAAAAGAAATTTAAATTTAAATTTAAAAGAGAGTAAAATATGATCATTTGATTTTTAAAAAATGATGTGATCTCATCATTAAAAGTTTTGGGTTTAAAAAAGAATACCCTTGATTTGGGTTTAAAAAGGGTTTTTTTTCATTTGGTATGGGTATGGGTATGAGTATGAGTATGAGTCGGCATATCCAACTCAAACTCAAATTTAGACTCAAATTTAAATTTGAGTAAAAAAATCTAAAAAACTTGCTATAACTCTTGACTCAAATTTATACCAAATCAAAAGAAAACTCATTTTTTTATTCAAATCTTTAATGATGAAATTTCACCATCTTTTAAAAATCAATGGTCATCCTTATTCTCTTTTAATTTGTGTTTGCCCTCATTTAAATTTGGGTCTCTCTTTTTAAAATTTAAGTTTGTCCATTGGAGTCCTTTATATCAAATCAACTTTTTACTCAAATGTTAATTTAAATTGAGTAAATTTGAGTCATGATTGGAAATGAGAAACATTTTAGATAATTTTTACCTAAATTTAAATTTAAGTACAAAATAGGGTAAGACCTAGAGATGCTCTAACAATAATTTCGTGTCTGAAGACACTACAATATTAAAAATCGAACTGATCTTGTAATATTTTATATTTTAAATAATAATTTAGTTTTTTTGAACTACATAACTTAAAATTAAAATGAAAAAAGAGATATGTGTAGATTGATGGTATTGTTTGGCATTCAGGAGTATATTTATTGTGTTATTTGACTTTGGAGGTTGTACAAAGAAATTAATATTTTTGGAGGAAAAAAATAATTAATGGGATGGATTTTCTATCATTGAATTAAAGTAAATGAAGATTGAATCTATATTGATATTGTTGTAGTTTCACAAGTTGACCTTTTCTAGTTGTAATATGTTACAACGTGGACTTCAATGTTAACCAAGAGAATAGAATGAATTAGTTGAATGGGCACCTAAGAATTGGAAAGGGAGAGCAATGGAGATGGTGGTAATGAAAGTTACCTTGTCAGCTAATGTCTAAGATGAGAGGAAGAGAAAAAAGGATGGAGAGAATGTGTTTGTCATTTTACACACTAAAAGAGTCACAAATTCAATTATGGTCACACAAACAAAGCTTTAGTATTTGTAGCTAATTTGTGCTTTATGTCTTCTAATATTTTTATGAGATAATTTATTAATTTTGCAGTTCATCCATGCGTCTTCTTGAAGTTAGATACGTGAGCAATGTGAAAAAGATGGAAGAGTTTTTCTAAAATTTGGAGACAATAGAGCTCAAAGATTGTGAGATATTGAAAAGTGAATAGTTTCCAAATTTTACTCCAATTATTCATCAGGATTGTAGATTAAAATAGAATATTATTTGTCAAATTAAAGCTTCATAAATTAAGTAAATAAGTGGTAAACCATGCGAAGAAATGGAAAAACAAATAGAGTAATGCTTTTGAGGCACATTAATAAATAAATTTAGAGTGCAAATTTGAATCATTAATTATAAAGTGAAATTTTTAATTTTTTAATGGGATAAAATATAATTTATCCTTTTGTAATTTCAATTAAGAAACCCAGTAATCAATTACATGACTCAATAATGTGATAGATAATATATCCCTCGAGCCAAGTGGAGCATGCATGAAGGTGTGAGATATTTCTTCTATTCTTTTCTATGGCACAACTGGCCCATCCTGAACTTAAACCAGAGACTTCGCCCGTGAAGTAAATCATCGCACCTACAGTCCAACTAATTGGGAGAGAATCAATAGATTCTTTTTCAGAAGCGATTCATCCTTCCCGAATGCAGCATATCGTCTTAATAATAAATGATAATAATAATAATATTGTTGTATAAGACTACAAAGTTAAATTTTTAGATCTCAACCTATTTTTTAATATTTAAATTTATAAGTCATGAAATCATCTTAGGCTAACGGTTAGCCTTTCCAATTAGGTGATGAATTGTAATTCGAACCTACATTGGGCTAAAGTTATAAAAAATTTATCCATTATAAATATTTTAATTTTGGTATAAATAATTTGTATTTAACCGTTCTAGAAAAAAGTCACGATGGGCGTAAACAATTTTTACATTTGAACAAAAAAGAAAAAAAAATTAAACCTACTATCTTAAAATCCAGTAACAGACCGGTGACCAATTGGATCAACCGCTGCTGTTGGGTGATGAGTTGTGGAGAATTGTCAATATTAGTTTTTTGGATGATTAACTAACACACACATGTGCCCAATGGTAATTTTTCGTGGGCTCTTCAAGTAAGCATAGAGGTATGTGGTTGTAGTCTTTCCACTTAGATGGACACCAGAGTTCGTTGGAAGAACCTATAAATCATTGAACAACTGTTGGACTCCAAAATCTACACACTTTCTGACACGTGGATCATCGCCGGAATATTCCTTTCATGCCGGAACTCCACCGGTATCCGCCACCATGAAACCAATTAAAGCTTTAACTACAAACCCATATAAGCCTTTCTTTGTCAGTCCTTCAAAATTAACACCAAATGTGAAATGGGTCTATCAGTTTCGGCCATCTGGTGTCCGATTTCCGGTGTCTATGACCACCAGCTCTACACACAGTACCCCATCATCAGCTCCGGCAATTGCGTCGGATGTTGGGTCCGGTGCGTTTCATGATTCGACGGGAAAAATATATAAAATAGAGGAAAAAATAGAGAAGGTGAAAGTTTGAATTTACGTTCGTGAAGCATTATGTATGTATTTTCCAGTGGTAGTATAGGAATAAGGTTTTAATGCTTTGTTGCCTGAATGTAGGTAATTTATGGGTGCCGTTTCCTGACGATTCTCGCTGTTTGGGGTTCTTTGGTTGGATCGTTCCTGTGTTTTATCAAGGTACAGTATCTATTTTCTGGCAATCTCTTACATTCTTTGTTTCTTTATTGATTTACTTATATAGAAGTTTCTTTTTTCTGTGAAACACTGCAATTGGATTAGGATTAGTTTCCAATCAAAAAATGGTATCATACATTGAAATAGTAACCATGTAACTTTATCACACCAACACATTCACAAAGTGATGCCAAATTTTTGTGTTAGTGGGAGAAAAATCACGAGACCATTGTCCAATTCCGAATCTCATTTACCATCAAAAAATGGGTTTGCACAAGTTTATAATTTGTGTATACCTAGAAATTTATACTGTGAAGTATAACAATTGGATCACAGAAATGTGATTTCCTTTCTTTAAAGATGGGCTTCAACAACAGTGTCTTAAGAACAAAACATGATTCTCACAATGTGGACTGAGGAGAAATATGAAAACGATCAATGATGAGAGGTTATATCGGAATCTGTCGCAACTCATTGAACTCCGAAACCACTTCTCTTACTGGAAAGCTGTTTAAAAAATAATATGCAAGTTCTAGGTGGGGGATGCCTCTATGCGATCTTTCATGATTCATTTATAATGTTTGTTGTGGCTTGCAGGGTTGCACTTATGTTGTAGCATCCTACCAAGGATATTTGGCGAACCGAGCAAAGGTGATTATGTTGCTGGTTGAGGCCATTGGTATGTTTGTGACTCTGCTTTATATTCATCCAACCATGGTGGTTCCTGTTCCTGCTCTGAACTTTAAGAATGCTGAATATATAATTTTTGTTAGAAAATAAAACATAAAATCACAGATTCATAAATTAAATAAACATGCAAATATATCAAATAAACTCAATGGAACTTAGATCAAAAATAAGTTTAGAATAGCTTGGATTGAGACGCGAGATGAACATTGTCCTAAGAAGAGATACGTCCTCTCCGCATAGAGTTTTTCGACGTTCTTTTCCCAAGATACAACAATCTGAGAGAAACTACAGTGTAGGTGTGAACCTCTCTATAACAAACTGATCTCACCCAAGTTGTCCACAAAACACACCAAAACTAGTAAAGAATGAAGGAGAATATGTATATGAAAGTTTTTTTTCTATATCAAAGGAAGATACAACACATGTCTATTTCTATATTAATAGATAGCCATTATCCTTTAAGGCTATATGAATATATAGGAAATGTTTGGCTTCAACGGCTAGTCTTCATGTAGTAACTCCAATGTATATATATATGTATTAATGATATATGTAGTTATTACATATAACTCCCCCTAAAGAATTTCAACAATCAAAAATTAAAATCATTTAAAATCATAATTATAAAATAAATGTGGGGCTAAAATTATTAATATGAATAAATGATAATAAAATTTAATTTTAAATCATATATACTAACAATCCCCCACATGATTTAAAATTAAATAAAAATAAATTGGGCAACAATACCATGCAATAGGTGATTGGTGTCTTCCAAACTTGAACCTTCACTTAGCGTTAACGAGCTTCCATCTGAAGAACCATAGTGAACAAATCTTGAATTAGGCTCTTTAATTCAGGTTTCTACTCGTCACACACACGGTATGGATATTAGATCAAGTTCTAATCAGTTTTGCACTCTTACGGCCATGCGCTAGTATCTTGATTTTCATGAGTGTTTTATTTGGGATCAGCCTACATCCCATAGTAGTGGCCTCACTACAAACACACATATAGGTGAACCCTCTAAAGATGTTTTGTGACCAACACCCAGCAGAATCCTGCCTTGGGCTCATTAAGAGATTTACTCCTCCTTATCACCATCACAGTTTAGAGCACTATCTCCTTAGAAATGGGACTAGGGAATTTCCCTTGTTACAATTCAGTAGTCATGTTACAGTTTCGTTTTTACTTATTGAACCTCCTTTATGGGATCTCCAATCACAGAGGTTAGGCGTCCATTGCAATGACTAACTTATAGGCTTCAATCCCATTTCCCTTTATGAACTTTGAACTAGCCTCTTTGTTAGCCCTTTGGTAAGATGATCCGCCAAATTATTTTTGGACCTCACAAAGTCAAGTGCAATTACTCCTTGACTAAGCAACTATTTGATAGAATTATGACGGATTCATATATGCCTCCTTTTTTCATTATAATTGGAATTCTTTGCCTTGACAATTGTAGCTTGATTGTCACAATATAGAGAAATTGCTGGAATAGGCTTTACTGCTAAGAGGTATATCTGATAATAAACACTTTTTCTGTTACAGCTGAATCTAATGAAATAAATTCCGCTTCCATTGTTGACCGAGATATAATAGTTTGCTTTGTTGACTTCCAAGCCACAGCTCCACCACCAAACATAAAAACATAGCCACTAGTAGCTTTAGTTTCATTCGAATCCGAGATCCAGTTAGCATCACTGAATCCTTCCAATACTGCTGGGTACCTTGGAAAATGAAGACCATAATTTAAGGTACCTTTTAAATATCGAAATACTCTTTCAATAGCTTTCCAATGTTTTTGATTGGGATTAGAATTATATCTACTTAGCTTATTGACGGCATAAGCAATATCAGGCTTAGTGCAATTGGTTAAATATATTAATGGTCCAATAAGCTGTGAATATTTTTGTTGTGATACACTTTCACCTAAATTTTTCTTTAGGTGTACATATGGATCATATGGTGTGTTCACTGGTTTATATTCAAAATAATTAAATTTTTTCAACAATTTTTTAACATAATGAGATTGGGTTAAAATAATCTTATTTTTATTTCTTATTAATTTTATTCTCAATATAACATCAGCAAGGCCCAAGTCCTTCATATCAAAATTATTTGAAATCATATTTTTAGTTTCACAAATCACATATTCATTGGTTCTACAAATCAAAATGTCATCCACATAGAGACAAAGTATTACACACCCACTTTCCGAAAAAAAAAGAAGTATTACACACCCATTCTCAGTTATTTTAGAATAAAAACATTTATCCAAATCATTTATAACGAAACCATTTGAGAGTATTACTTTATCGAATTTTTCATGCCATTGTTTAGGAGTTTGTTTTAAATCGTAAAGAGATTTGACCAACTTACACACTTTATTTTCTTGACTTGGTACTACAAATCCTTCGGGTTGCTCCATATAAATCTCCTCGTCTAGATCACCATTCAAAAAGGTAGTTTTAACGTCCATTTGATGAATTTCTAAATTATATATTGAAGCAATAGCTATTAAAACTCTTATGGTTGTTATTCTTGTTACAGGAGAATAGGTATCAAAAAAGTCAATTCCTTCCTTTTGATTAAACCCTTTAGCAACCAATCTTGCTTTGAATTTTTCTATAGATCCATCCGTTCTCAACTTTTTTCTAAATATCCATTTACAATCTATCAGTCTACTACCATGAGACAAATCTGTTAACACCCAAGTCCTATTACACAGAATAAAATTCATTTCACTATCTATTGCTTCTCTCCAAAAAGGTGCATCAATAGATGTCATTGCTTCATTATATGTCTTAAGATCTTCGTGTACTATAAAAGTGTAAAAATCTTCACCAAAATTCTTTTGAACTCTTCTTCTTTTACTCCTCCTAAGTTCTTCATTATCTTGATTGTAATACCTCTCTAGTCCAACATCTTCAGTACCATATTTTTTATCTAAAGTTTCCCAAAGTTCAAGTGCCGATTTAGTAGTGCAAAAAATATCATAGGTTCAGCAAGTGCACTAAGAATTCTGCCATGACACAGGTAGTCTTTTTCTATATCTGAAGCAGATTTTGTTGACTTTTCAGGGACTAAACTTGTACTAGTTCCATCAGCAATAGTTGTTTCATTAGTCTGGACTTGGGTATGTCTATTTTCCTCAGGTTGAGCAGGTTTTTCAAGCACAGAAATTAAATCCAAAGTAGTCAACCAAAATTTCATTTGTCGTTGCCATCTTCTAAAGTGTTGACCGTTGAACTTCTTAGGTTTGCAAGAATTAGATTCAATAGTGGTCATATTTCAAACAAGATAAATGGATAAACAAATAGAAAAAATAAGTTTTCCTACGTTATTCTAATCTTAATTTTATCTCTTAGATTGTTACAAAATAAAACATAAAATTACAGATTCATAAATTAAATAAACATGCAAATATATCAAATAAACTCAATGGAACTTAGATAAAAAATAAGTTTAGAATAGCCTGAATTGAGACGCGAGTTGAACGTTGTCTTAAGAAGAGATACGTTCCCTCTGCACAGAGTTTTTGACTTTCTTTTTCCAAGATACAACAATCCAAGAGAAGCTACGGTGTAGGCATGAACCTCTCTATGACGAACTGATCTCACTCAAGTTGCCCACAAAACACACCAAAACTAGTAAAGAATGAAGGAGAATATGTATATGAAAGTTGTTTTTCTATATCAAAGGAAGATACAACACATGTCTATTTCTATATTAATAGATAGCCATTATCCTTTAAGGCTATATGAATATATCGGAAATGTTTGGCTTCAACGGCTAGTCTTCATGTAGTAACTCCAATGTATATATATATGTATTAATGATATATGTAATTATTACATATAACTCCCCCTAAAGAATTTCAACAATCAAAAATTAAAATCATTTAAAATCATAATCATAAAATAAATGTGGGGCTAAAATTATTAATATGAATAAATGCTAATAAAATTTAATTTTAAATCATATATACTAACAATTTTGCCCCAAGCCCTCTACAATGTTGAGTTCCGTTTTTCTAAATGCAAAATTATTGTTGTTTTTTGGAGAAAAATATACTTAATATAATGCAAGTTAAAAATTTTCTTGTCTCTGGACTCTAGAGACACAAGTGGTGGGAATGAGGGTTTGTGGAGTTGATTGGAGTTAGAGATTCACAAACTGAACTTCCCACTATTTCTCTTTTTGGAGTAATCAATCTATTGTATTTCCTTGGCTGAAGGAAACATATTTAATATTGAAGAGGAACAAGAGAGTAGTATGACATTCTCCATATGTGTATCTTTTTTAGAATTTTGATTTTCATGATGCAAGTCCTGCATAAGAAAGTGACACAACAATAGGTGCAAGAGGGCAAAGCAGTCAATCGGAATCTGGGTGATGCAGCTGTAGTAGCAGCCAACAACTGAAGTACTGCATGTGTATTAAACTTAGTGCAGTGCTAACAACCAACCAGGGGGTTATGGCAGGGGTACCTTCGATCAAAGCTGTGGCCACTGCAATTCTTACACGTTCCATGATGCAATAATTTCTAGGAGTATGTAATTCCATTATGTCGTCTATTTCTAGTTTTTTTGTGGGGACAAAAGAAATGAGTTGGCAGAATTCGTTGGGTCATCTTTCTTCTATTCAAAATAAGGTGGCCTTGGTTTTAGGGACCTTGATAGTTTTAATATTTCTTCACTAGCTAAGCAGTGTTGGTTTGGTGCAAATGCTTAAATCTGAGGTTTGGTACTGGCTAAGGTTTTATTTGCTTAAATCTGATTTTATGGGAACAGGTAGAGGAAGGACTCTGTCATGGGGATGGAGTAGCCAAGTGCCCTTTTGGCAGGGAGGGAGAGCTTTGAATGAAGTTTATAAGCTGGAACTTGCATAATGGTAGTAATATTCGAATTTGGGAGGACAAATGGGTACCAGGGCTGAAAGAATTTTGCATAAGCACTCCAAAGCCCCCTGTTTATGACTTCATGTAAGCCAGTGTTTTGTTTAAAAAAAGTTAAGGCAACTAAGATGAAAGGAATTTAGGGATTTTTGATGATGCTGAAGTCAGAGCTATTAAGCAAATCCCACCGGGCTGTGACTTCATGTGAGCCAGTGTATTGATTAATAAGGCAAGTAGGATGAAAAGAATTAGAAATTTTTGAGTATGCTGAGGTCAGAGCTATCAATCAAATTCCCATGGCAGAAGACGTAAAATCAACATATTGGCTTTCTTTGAAGGAGTTTCCTCCCTGTCCACCAGCCAAATCCTGAACTTAAATGTATGGAAAATCAAAGCTCCTCAAAATATCAAATCATTTATGTGGAGATCCTGTAAGGAATATTAGCAACAATGTAAAATTTTGTATGGGAGAAAAAACTCCATTTACCCCCATGCCCTGTATTCAGTAAGAATCAACATAGCATGTTTCACCACTGTGAATGGGTGAAAAGGTTATGGATAGCAGTACAATTTTCTCTGGAGAGCAATACCCGACATATTGCTCAATTTGAAGACAGGATATATAGGATTGTTATGAAGAAAACCCATCTTTTATGGTATTTGAAGCTAACTAAGCATGCCTCCGCATCAATTGAATTGTTTTCGTGTTTAGAGCAAAGCTTTCATATTTCAATAGTTGCTTCTAACCAAAAGCCAGGATTTCAAAAAAATAATAATACTAAATAAATAAAAGAAAGAGGAGATTTATTGGTTGCCCCGATTTCATGTAGTTTTTTTGTTGCTTTTTGGTGGCCATGATTTAGGGTAATCAACTCAACTTTCTAGGTATTTAACTATCCGTGGTTTCATTTGATTGAATCAATATGGAACTGTCTCTGATTTGTATAGAATACTGAACATCCAGTAGTTGATCCAGAAGTTACATTCTAAATTTGCTTACTGTGTGGTGAATCAAAGTTTTCATTGCCATCCTCTTTCTGGTCAGTGGTGCAAAATCTCTATATTTTTTGGAGTTCCTAATTAACTTTTTGTTTTTTCACGTTTTAGATGTCTATCTTCTAGGAACAGTGATGCTGGTCTTTGGCATGGGTCTCTACGAGCTCTTTATCAGCAATCTTGACATTGCAAAGTTACTGTCAGAGGAAAAAATACCGTACAGATCAACTTTATTCGGTTTATTCCCTTTAAAGGTCAGTCTAAATTTTCTAACATTTTAGCAGTCTTTGTGAGGCAGCAACGTATAACTCGTTGTTCTGTTGTATTCTTAACCACAATTTATGTGCAATTGATTACTTGCGAACATTTTAAGTTTGGGGGTTTGAAACTTTGTGAGATTTGAACCATCTGCTTCTGGAGCATTTGTTAGTGACACTAGTCTTTTAGTCATAGCATTTAAAAGATGTTTTACTAGATGATGCATATTGGTCTACGTGTCACTGCACAGCATACACTTCCTGCTCCCTTCTGCGACAGCAAAATTCATTTTTTTGCTCTGTTGTGACTTTGTTGAACTTTTTTAATGTAAATCTTAAATTTGAACAATCTATGTTAAAAATGCACACTGGGGAGGGAGAAAGAAAGGGAATGCAACTACATTGTCTTAACTCTTTCTTGTTTGAAATTTTCTTTTCTTGTTTTTGTTTATTGCTTTTATCTTTTTTGTAATTTCTAAATTCTCAGGAACGGCCAAGATGGTTAGAGATAAAATCCGTCAATGAGCTGAAAACCAAACTTGGCCATGTAATAGTGATGCTTCTTCTTATTGGCTTGTTTGAAAAGAGTAAAAAGGCAGCCATTCAGTCACCTTTGGATTTACTTTGCTTTTCAGCTACTATACTTCTGTCCTCTGGTTGCCTTTATCTACTGTCAAAGCTCAATGGCTCAAAATAAATTTCTCCTGCATCGTTTAGGTTGGACCATGGAAAATCTTTTGGGAGAAGATCCAAGTAGATATTTTAGTTTATAGATATGCATGTGTATATAAACATATCTCTATGTATGAAAGCGATGCGCCTGAGCATGTGCTTATGCTGTATAATGAATGTGAACCAGTCCATATCTGATATAAAAAGACAGTCTTTGATCATGCTTCGTTTTTACACATACTTAATGTCTATGGTGACATTTAAACTGGACATCATCCTAGCTTGATGCAATTGATTTGTGCTAGACTATTGTGCCAAAACAGACCCAATGTATTAGCAGCAGTTCAGTCTGATTTAGTTCTCACAGTCAACATACCATAAAAAAGAGCGTCCTGTGCATGAGAGTGATCACCCACTGTAGGTCTGAGAAAAGTTAGATGTGTGTGGCCTTGCAGATTTGATTATTTCTGTGATTCGAACTCATCATCCACAAATTACAATAGAGCAATTTTATCTTTGTGCCAAGGTTTGTCCTCATCTTTTGGTTGCAGATTTAAGCCATAAAATCTTTGCAGTAATTAATAGCAGGATAGCCAATTTCCTTGATATTGGAATGGTTTCACAGAGTCGGGCTTACCTATGGCGATTGGATCCCCGGACCATAGGGTCAGGCCACGGGCCATTGCCCATTCAGAGAACCAAAAACTGCAGCCAACGTACAACTTGACAATTTCATATTTCCCCATGTGCAAGTTGACAATTAGATAACGATTAAACAGTTCCTTTGCAGTTCCATAGCTTTTGGTTGACTTGAATGTTGTCAGCATCTCAATGGAAGCTCTTTGTAAGTTCATCCTATTAAACCATCACATCTCCATTTCTTTGTCTCTCTGGTTGGTTGGTCACCATAAGATGTGTGATGTTTTAGGGTAATGGAAAATTCATATTAACCACACGCTATTTGGATTGATTGCAATGCAAACTCCATGTAAACGCTATCACTCATATGACACATGCATCGGATAAGCTGAGACTCGAACTTAAAATCTAAGTTTACACAATCACACATAAAACATGCATAGGGTAATTTGGCCGGATTCAAACTTAGTAGGTTGAGTATCAGATTCTACCTTTTCCTTGAAGCTACCCTCACCTGTTATACTTTATGAACAGCACAAAAGCTAGAGGGAAAGTATATGTTGCAAGTAGGTCTCACAAAATATATTGTTTTTATTATCTTGGTTCTAATAAATTATCAAATTTTGATGTCCAAAGCAAAATCTTTGTGCTTCTCCATCTATGCATGTGGGCCTCCACCCACTAGAGTAAATATAAATCTCAGTACTTATCTGCAAATATCTTCTGATATGCTTTTCTCTCTCTCTCTCTCTGAAAAGAAACCCATTGGGGGGACCTTTGATGTTGCTTATAAAGTATTTCATAGGTTTCCAGCGCAAAGGAGGTAAGAAATGGTTAATGTTGGTACGTCAAGGAAGATCTATATAATTGTACTTGGCCAGGACAAACTCAGTTGATCCTTTACTTCTATCATTTTATATGGACTATAGATTGTTGTTGTATTGGCACTAGACCTCCTTTGATGTTATGTCCACCATTAATCTAACAGTAGAAGTGAATTTGATCAACAAATTTAATACAAGTCGAGATATATTGTTTTTACGTGGGTTGTCTCTATTCACCTCCGATGTGATAATTGCTATTTGGCTGGTTCAAATTTCCATCTCCTTAGAGAAAAAAAAAAGCCAGGCTTACATGAATGCTAAACCAAGAACAAAGAACCCATAGTGCTAAGTGGCCAATTCATCACTTGGGTAGCACAAAAGTGAAAAGGGGAGAAGAATGATAGAGTATTAAACAATAGTTTAAAGATAACAAATTCTTTTTGAACCTTATTTTGCAACCTCTTATGTTGCATTTGGTGCACGATAATGTGTTTATGTGAAAATAGAATAAATTGCAGATTACCATTTCGATGTTTAACAACAATTAAAGATTAAATGTTAGAGTGAAATCCAAAAAATTCATTTCAATATTTAGACAAATCATCCATTTCACAACATTAAAATGTTCAACCCAAATCCTGACTCTAGACCCTAGAGCAAACCTACACCCTAATCCTAGACTCGAACTTGACCTCAGAGCCTAGATCCTGACCTCGATCTTGAGCCCTGAACCCTAGAGCCACCTAGATCCCAAAGCTTGGATCCAAACTCGACCTGGAGGGCTGGACTCGACCTAGACCTCGGACCGGGTCTAAACTCAGACTCTATTGGAGACCCTGCACCTTGAAACTAAACCTTGATCCCAGACCTAAACTCGACCTCAAAGCCGGACCTAGACCCATCTAGGATGTGGACTCGGACTCAGACCCAAACCCAAACCTTGCTCAGGGTATCCACCTAAACACTGTACTCTTAATTATGGAAATGCAACCCACCTTGACAAGTCTTTGTTTTGTTACCGACTTGGGATCTTACTTTTCTATGTGAATCATTTTTTTTCTCTCATTGCTAAGTAAATATAAGTTTTCAAGATAACATCTGATCATATGTCTATGAGATAACTTATATACAACACTATCAATGGAAATTTTTACCCTCTGGAAAAGAACTTGTACACAGCTGTGTACTTGTTTTGGATTCCTATTCCGCGCATAGGAATGTACATATATGCATGTTTATACATATTTATATTTTTGTGTAGATGAAACACAGCTTCGTCCATGATAAAGAATAGTGGCAAAAGAAGATTCCGATTCATGTGGCCGATTTCAAAAATTTTGGAATAAAATCTTGTTGAGTTAAGGCGAGTTGTAGATGAAACAAAGCCTACTGAGCTGATTTTTTTTTTTTTTCTTGGGTACAAATTACAAAAGCTTAGTTAGCTGATAAAGCGGTTAAAGTGTAGTGAATATTTTGACGATTACACATTCTTCTTTCTAAGGAATCGAATACCTTGTTGTAAAGAGCAAATCAAGGAGAGCAAGGCTTTAGATATTTAGTGTGACACTACACTCACGGCATACAAATCCTAGTGGGGTTTCTGTTCATACTAGCTGGTTGAAGTGACAGTTAAAAAAATGGCTTAAAAAGCAATGCAAGAAGATGCATAACAATCAATTGCTATTTTCTTGATGATAATACTGACTTCAATTAATGAAATTCTTAACATGATTCCTTGATTGAATAGGATACAAAATTATAAGTTATAGATTTGAATAGTTTGAGTTTAAAAATTGAATTGACTCATTGAACTTTCTTCATAAATAGATCCACACGAAAATCAAATATTATGAACTTAACACGAATCCGATCACATACAATTATATATAAATTGAGCAATATTAGGTGCACTAAAAATATGTACTGAAATTTGCACCAAATTACTTGCAGCTTCAGTGATTCAACGCCTGTAATTGATTTGATGTACAAATTTGGTGCACATAAAATTATCCATTTTAATATCAAACAAACCAGACAATCTATGTCCAACCCTACTTATCAGCTACTAGGGTCAGCACAAATCACTTGGTACTATTTCCATTTTTTTTCTTTTCGATATTATTGGTAGGGGTGTTCAAGTTAATTTATGCACACCGTGACTAATTCATTCTCCAATTCAATCAATGCAGATCATCCATATCAAGATTAGAGAATTAATTAGAGATTTATCTATCATGACCTAACTACAAAAAATTACCAAATTTTAAATTCAAGTTATTTGAGTTTATAACTCATCGTTACCTCTACAGAGTTACCCTAAAACACCTACAGATGCACTGTTTGTGGCTTAGGATCATCAGTCTTGGAAAGGGGATTTCTTTCCCAATTTTGGGCCTATCATATAAATCCCATACAGTTCAAGGTCAGGGTTTCCTTAAACAAAAAAGTGCGTTGATGCCTTAAACAAAAAAGTGTGTTGATGCTGACACAAGTGTATTCAAGTGGAAGCAATTTTTTAAGAGCCATAGAGTCATAGACAGACAAAAGTGCATAAAAGTGAGATAGAGCTTATACGAGGGAAGATGGAACTTGTACTCGAAGCTCTCTCTCTCTCTCTCTCTCTCTCTCTCTATTTGTATATGTATATATATATATATATGGTGAATACTTGGTACGAACTTAGGATGCCACTGAGTTGGAGCCGACAGGAGATTGAGGGCTGATGATTACCCTAATTATGGTCAATCAGGAAAGAAGACCATCCATGATGGAGCTGACTTCTTTATTCATTCGGGTGGCTCCATATCATATGCTTTTCGTTTTAGACTTCCACTACCACCTAGGTTGTGTCTAGGGAAGGGCTTATTTTCATAGCTTGGCCTTCTATAACTTGTTAAAGGTGATGTTTTTTAAAAAAAATTTTCTTTTTCGTTTGGCTTTTTCAAGTGATTATTTATAATATCTCTCATTATTCATCATTAGAATAACTATATACAGATACTTTCCACTAGCTTTCTCTTGCTTTTCTCTCCTATAGATACATAAAAGAGTGCCCCCTGCACAAAACAAAACACACAAGTACAAAGGAATGATCCCTCACGTGCATGCACACAAGAAATAACAATGTCTAATTTGAGCTAATCTTCCTTACCCCTAACCCTAATTGTCAAAGGAGCATATGGAGGTTTATTTTTAGAACAACTTGATCTTTCTTACATGATGAGCTGGTTTCGGATACAACCTGAATGAATTTTATTTCAATAAGATAAAGTTTTATAATAAAACTCAAAACACGCCTCGAAAGGCACATATCATTAGTGGAGCTCTTCACAACTTGGTCCACAAAATATGAAACTAAAGTTGTACTTCTCACAACTTGAGAGACTAGGTGCATTTTTGCACTACAAATTAAAGCAAATCTTATAGAAGAGACAAAACTCTATATAACGGTTGCTTAAAGAGTTAAAGTTCTTCTCATATCTCAAGTGGCAAATCTCTTAACAACCATTTCTCATATCTAGTTAGAGGAGCTTCAATCCAGACATAGTTTCCCCAGTAAATAAAAAATCCTACCCAAAAAAAACCCTTAACCCATAAATTGTAGCATTGATGTTTAGCAGTGACATAAAAGAGAAAATCATGTACATTTCAACAAATCTATATGAAGCTTAGTGGAAGAAGCATTTACGTGATAAAAAACCTACTAAATTGTACACGTAGCAGACTAAGTCTCTCTCAAGCTACTAAATAAAACCCAAATTCAATGCAAATGGTTCTTCGTGGTGTCTAATCAAAGCCCATGCGCTTTCTATAAAAACCTATAAGAATTTCAATGAGTGGCTGTGGGAAAGCTCGTTGAATGGGAATGAGCCAAGAAACGTTATCCTTACTAAACATGGAAATATTCCGAGGTTTCCTTCCTTCCTCTCTTCATTACATTGATCTCCTAGAAGCCCTACCATGTGTCTCAATCTTCATTATCTTCTTGTTCAATAGCCACAAGGCCGTGTCGTGGGACCTTTATGATCACCTTAAATTGCAGTCTCTGTGACTGCAAAAAAATCAGTTTCAGTTTCAAAACCATTTCTCTTCCTTATTTCCATGTTCTTTTCAGCTTGATAAACCCTAATCCTCTCATTTTCATGGCTTCATGTTTCCGAATCTGTGTGCTAACCATTTGTATGGTTTTCTTCTTTCAGCACTTTTACTTGATAGCAGAATCACGGGCCCTGAAAGTTCACCCACCAGCAATGCCTATCCCCACCGTGAGTAGGCCAAAATCACCGTCTATTGGTGGTGGGTTTACAATAAACCGGTACAAGAACATTGAGGCAGATGCTTTCCGGCCAACAACTCCAGGACATAGCCCTGGGGTTGGTCATTATGATCCTCCTGGTGCTCCTTAATCACAGTAAGACCACGGTATCGAAAAATTGATTTATGTTATCGAAATTTATAAATTTTTTGAGTTAAATCAACTTTTTTGAATCAAATTACAATAAAATAGGGTTGTTGAGATCAATCGCAACTATTTTATTATAATTTAATCTCAAGAAATTATCTCTTAACAAAAAAAATGTAATAAACTTCGGTCGCACCTTTTTTCGGTACCCAAGTCTTTAGCCCTAATCTAAAGGGTCACATCACATATCATTTGCTGCTTTGTAAGATTTGAATCTTGGAAGAGTGATACGGAGGAATAAGATTTTCCACGGGGTTTCTCTCTAGTCTTGTAAAATGAATTAGGGTTTGCAGGGAGAACACGTCTAGTTCATTATGGTTGCTTGAGAGTGAAGGTACAGCATGATAGATTGTGTTTCTCTGTGTACGTAGATTGGATATGTTTATCATTGTTTCCTTCTATGAAAACAGTTTAATTTGTTACCATACAATCAGAGATCTTCGATGGACTTATGAACTCAGAATGACCTTTGTATTATTCAGGATCCAAAAAAAAAAAAAGTGTTATTCAGGATCACTTATTAACGGGTCTTTAGTTTAATGATACTCTTTATTTTGTAAAGATTTTGTCTTCTTAAGGTCAAGTGTTTAACTCTTCTTCCTCTCCCTCTCCCCCTAAAAAAAAATTTTAAAAAAAAGTTATTTAGGATCACTTCCATGTTATTCGGAATGAATAATGCTAGTAAAATCTAAAAACTTGACCTAATTTGTCAAGATAATGTGTTAAATGATGAAATCTCAATGAAGAAGTCCAAGTGTTACATTCACAATACTATTGGATCATGTCATCAAATTAGATCAATTTTTTAGGTCTTAGTTGCATTACTCTATGTATGTGTCTTTTTTTGAGAGAGATAGAGGGAGGGAGAGAGAGAGAGAGTATTAGTGCAAAAAACCAACAACTTATGGCATTTTGACTCGGGTCCAATTCTTTTTTTTACACTTTCATTTAATTTTTCTTAATATTGGATCACCTATTATAAATTTAAGTAGAACCATTATTTATAAGTGAATTTCTCACTTATATACGGTAGATGATCTATCATTTATTAAAATTAAGTGAAACCAAAACCAGGGCAGTTAGCCTTCTTAATGACAATTCGATTGACTCTCTCACCTCTATGACTAAGCAATAAATTTTAGCCATCAAATCCAGGGCAGTTAGCCTTCTTAATGACAACCTAATATTAGTGCATCACTTTCTTTTTCTTATATTTTGTGTATGCAGAAGTAGATTAGCCGTCTTTGTCAAGAATCCGATCTTCATAACCAAATCCTCTTTTTTTAAGATGATATATGCATAATATATTTATATATAAAAAAAAAAGAAGTAAAAAGCCCTGGCTACGTACCCCACCAGAAGTTTCATATCAAATGTCACAAGTTTAATGGTTGGGAAGTTGAATGACGCCCAACACAGCAATCGTTGAAATCTTTCATCGATCGACTACTAAACAAAAGTTGTGTGATGCCTGCCAATAATAATGACGATTAATTGTAAATCACATTTATAGTGACAAAAAAAAGACTTTTAGAAGAAAAATAGTACTACAATCCATGCATAGAATTTTGTTGTTGCTGTTGTTTTTTTTTTTTTTGGGGGGGGCGGTTGAAATGAATTAAAGATACTAATCTTCTTGAGCATATTTTTTCTTATACTTTTGTCGATAGATCGTTTATCGTACATTTAAGTGAGACATATTTTCTATAAAGTGCTCCTCACTAATTCGTGTTGAGTGATCGACCAAAGAGAAAAATAGAGAAAAACATATTAGAGAATATCTAGAGTCGGTAAGCAATGGGTAGTTCTTTATTGCAAGGGAATGCTCTTAACTTTTTTAAATTTTTATTTTTTGGAAAGGGAGTGAGGTTGGAATACGTAACCTCCTACGGATGAGAGTAAGCGCTTATCATTAGACTACTCCCCCACCTCAAAATTGATAAATTGCTTTCATCGAGAGTTAATCTTAGTTTGACATACAACCTTAAATCACATAGAAATTTTGAACTATAAGAAAAATAATAAGATTATCACCGTATACAAATTTATTTTTAACTTTTAGACTTTTTTCCGATCGTTCGGGATAGGAGAAATGGATGCCAACTCTCTCGGTCCCCAAAAAACTTTCGACACCTAGACGAAGCGAGATTCGATCATAGTTCTCTTATTCAATTACCTAAAAAAATTTAAGAATTAGTCCACTCGATACCTCGTCCCACTGTTTTTCCAGCCATAATTCTATTATTTCACCATTTTTGATTTGCCATTTACGTTATTCATGATGTCCTTCTAGCATTTAGGAATGTCCTGTCATAGCCAAGAGTAATTTGTTTTCGGTCAAAAACTATTACCTGGAGGATAACGATAAAATTCAAACTTACGGAAGGTCCAAAAATAAAGACGATAACCGTTAAGCCAAACCACTAACCCCGTGATGGCCAAGAGTTGGAAGGGTTAGATTTGGAAGAGAAAAAATACTTGTAATTTTGAGCCCACCTTGTTGGGTCTGCAAGGATTAATATTGGGGCCATCTTGATGCAATTTGCCTTAGTAACAATTACTAATTATCGACCACTCAAGACATCCAAACCTGCTCTGAATACGTCTCATATTCTCATCCCTACAAGCGTTCGAAACAAGAATTTTGTTTTTTGTTTTTAATTTGATCTCTAAACTTTCAATTGTCTTGATTTAATCTCTTAACTATGAATTTTGTTTTAATTAAGTTATTTTGTCTATTTTTATCATTAGATTAAATAAAGATTAGTTTGATCCGTTCAATTTCCACTGTTACATCATATATGCTATATGATGTAATTTCCTCAACTTGGAGTAGTCAAAGCATGGATATGCTATATATGATGATAAGAAAGCACCAGATTCCACAAAGTTGTTTGCTGCTTGCTTGTGGAGTGAAACTATGGTTGTCAAGTAGATGAATCAAAGGCTCAAAACCAATTAGATGGCTAGCATCAGAACAGAACCCAAACAAGAACTGGATTTGGAGAGAACTAGCTAGGACAAGATGAATCAAAGACTTTGATACCATGTGAATTTCTGAATAACAATCTGTTTTGTATATTCATCCTCCTATGATAGAACCCCAATTTATAATTAATGGTGCTTGACATCAACTGGATTGGACTGTAGAACAGTTTGAGGCGTGGCCCAGTGAGTATGCACGTGTATGCTATGTGTGTGATGCAAGAAGAAGACAACAATATGAGTGATTTGTCTTAACCGGAAGATAAAAGTTACGTTTACTATTCCCTTGTCCCTTGTTCCTTGTCCACATGTCGTGTTACAGCTTCTGCATACTGGCCGTGTGCGGTGCTCTGGTATCCCGAACTGGTAGATATGCCAAGCTTGTTAATTTCGAACTTCCCTGGGCCGCAGCCCAGTTTGAGTCTTAAGAAATATTGTCCAAATGAGTTGCTTGGGCCACTTTTAACAAGCCCAGGGGCCTTGGCCTCTAAATGGGTACAGATTTAAATCAATAATTATCAATAATGATACAAATAAATGAAATAAAAAATTACTAAAAATCAAATACAAAAAAGGTAAATAGAATATCTACAAAATAAATAACACCCTAACATCCTAAATGTAGCAGTAAAACAGATTTTTATTCAGAAATTCACAGTTTAAACAAAATTGTTAAGAGCAAATTCTATTAATATCGCTATACTTGATCTCGTTTTATTTTTTTATACTCTATTTTTTTTTCACTAATTGGTTATAGTTTATTAGTTTATAAAATAAATTCCGTATCATACTTTCAAATTTTATTATTTTAATGAGTATTTTTTTAATTTTTGTAGGTCATTTTATAACCAAAAAAAATAATATTTTTATGGTGTTTTTATCACTTGTCATTTGTGGGTGTTTTTATTATTTTTGTGATAATTGTTTTATGGTAAAAGTGATAAAAATAGTTATTGTAAAAATAATAAAAATGTTAATAGAAATAATAAATAACGGTAATATCAATTTAGTACACAAATCATTAATGAATATCGCCCACACTCATCCCAAGTTGCCCAACAACATCAACATAAATTGCAGGGACCACTGATAGCTAGCACTCATACCATAACTGTACATCTATTAGACTCTCTCAGTCATCTTGTTCCACGTGCCTGACTGAAAAGTTGTTTGGAGTGCTGCTATTAAATTAGGAAAGTCTATGGTATCCTTTTCAGTACCCTACCAACAATTACTATTTTTATAGTTAAATTATAATTTAAAAGATAAAAATTATAATCTATAATTGATCAAGAGTTCATGATCAATCACAAATACACATAATCCATCATCGACTTCTCTTGAGCAGTTACAACTTATCCCCTTTGAGTTATAACTTGATTTTTAAAAATTATAACTCAATATCAATCTCAATCTATTATAATCGATCACGACCTTTAAAAATTATAATTTATACTTTAAAAAAATTATAACTTAATTTTAAATGAGTGTAAGTGACGGTATGATACCTCCTTCAGTACCGTAAAATTCCCTTTTGTCACAGAGAATTCCAATGTTATCATGCAGACATCTAGGTCCACATCTACAAGTCTGTTAAAGACAATTGATGTCACATTAGTTTGAAAAATAAAAATTTACCCAAAATTTTTTATAATATTTCATAAGGGGGCAATTTCTTAAATTTTTTAAAATTCTAAATATACCCCACATGTTTTATAAATTACAGTGGGGGCAGCTGCCCCGCTGTAAATTCGCCCCTGACCTTGTCTTCCTTAAAATTCATCTTCATAAACTACCAAGACCTTGAATGGTACCCATCCTATTGAAGGCTTAGTAATTGTGTGTTGCCCTGAGGACTAGCAAGGACAAAGACTATTGCACGGGCCTCGTTATCACTTATGAATTCTTTGGTGTTGTATCTTAAGGACGATGTGTTGTTATTTTCTATGTCGTAATTCTTTCATAAAAAGGCACGAATCATCTTAAGAGAGCGATTTAGTCCGCGCATCACTCTGTCATTTACTCTCAAATACTTTTTAATTTTTTTGCTTTTGCGCTTTCGCTGCCTTGACTCATGTTCTATGCGATTTAGGTAATGATTGTATATTTATATAATAAAACACATAGGAAATACATATTTTTTCTCTCAAAATTATCAGATCACTCATTTCTATCACATGTTCAATTATTTAATATTTTATTAATTTATAGTTTAAACATAATTTTTATTTCAGACATTATTCATACACGATAGTATACACATGTTGAAAATATTTTATCAAATTACGTATTTTAAGAAAATTTTGTTAATATTTTTAAGAAAATAATGGGTAAAAATAAAAGAAAAAAAATATTATTTAATATAATGAGAACGGTTTTTTGAAAGTTCAAAATTTATAGTCTATCCTACCTTGGGGCAAAGTTTAAATATTATTCAAAGTTTAAATTTGCTCCCACAAAAAAATTCACTTACATTTTAATTTACCTAATCATTTCTTGTATTTGGATTACATTTTAATTAAGTAAACTTTGAATAATACTTAGTTAATTGAAACTCTCATCATGTATTTAGAAAAATTATTGTGAAGCTATTTGTTCACTTTTTATTTATTATTCATTCTAATTTTTTAATCTTACTGTTATTTTAAGAGAGATGCTATTGAAATATAATTTGAGTTAATTTGATAATCTTATGTATTGTCATCGGTCAGTCTATTTGTTAATTCAACGATAATAATTTATTAAATCTTTGAATTTGATCTCCAAATTAAACATCAATAGTATTTTTTATTGTAAAATTTTGAGCCCCACTACGATAAATCTGGCTCCTCACCTGATTGTACGTGAATCAACCAAAGTCAAAAGAGACTTCAAACTTAGCTCTATCATGGTCACTTCAATGGTGACTTTAATTGAAAATATGTCTAAGTTCAAGTTCAAGTTTCACGAATTGAATCAACTGCCCCTTAAACTGATCAATCTATTGATTAAAATTTTTTTTTTCTTTTATCTTAGCCCTGCCCCCCTTATATGTTAGAAGAACTTTAGGTTAGCGATTTTCTCCTAGAGGGGTCTATTTTTCTCGACTTGCTTCAAATTGTTCTATTTGGCTCAGTGGTTAGGGTATCACTTTGATCTGGAGGAATGCATGTTATTTACGCATAATCATATGCAATCCCTGTTTTCGTGGCAATCACACAGGTGTGCAATAAGTATTCTTTCACCAGTTTGACGCAAGTCGTCCTCCCAATCCCCTTAGCTATTTGTACTAAAAAATTAGGGCGTTATATGAAAGTCCGTGCCTGCTTATGCCGACTACAATGACTATCGAATAGTGATCTATCTGAATTCTGAAGAATGGCGCTCATATATCCCTAGGCATGGGTCTGCACTCTCCCCTATGATAGAAAGGCGACGTGAATATAAATATCACGTTTGTTGAAACGATTTTGGTTGATTAAAAAAAAAATGGCATAATACACGAAGTAAATAGATCAAAGATGAGTCATCATCAAGTAGGTGGTCTAGTAGAGTACTGGCCGTACTCTTCACCTTGAGGTTGAGAGTTCGAGTCTTGAAGTTTCTATTGGGACTTGATGGTTAGCCGTTATGCTAGCCTAGCTAAGTTTGGTCCCGAGAGGTATTTCAGGAGTGGTCAGAGGCCTTATGATTCTACTGATAAGAGCTTATCGAGGTGGTCGTTGGACACTCTTCTTTATCCCCACCCCTTTTTCACGAGCAAAAAAAAAAAAAAAGAATCAAAGAGGAGTCTTTTCAAGCTATAAGACCAGGCTAATGAGCACCAGTCCCGTCTCCTTCATTCTCGATTAGATTAATCAATTACATTTAGGAAGTAGTTGTTCATACATTAATGGAGGGCATACTTTTTTTTTTTTTGAGGGGAGGGGGAAGGGGACTTGAATCCTTGACCTCAAGAAGGCAAAACCTTCACAAAATAAAGAGTATTATTGAACCAAAGACTTTAATGGAGGGCATACTTAATAGAAAAAAATCGCTTAAAAGATCAGCATTAATTTTGCACCATACAATGATTCATGTATTGGACACTAACCTACACTCTTAATTCAAACAGAGAATGCAATTTGGTACCCCACTGTATAGACCCTAACTCACTCGGTACTCTATAATTAGTGGATGAAAAAACTGACACATAAATTGGAAGAGATAGTTCAAGTGATAATAACAACGAGTTGTAAACTTAGATATTTTGAGTTTAAATTTTGACAATCTCTTGTGGCTAAACCATGAAAATTTATCCCTTATGAATACTCTAATTCCAGGGTGGATGGCTTGCCTTTGGCCGGACCGAGAAAATAATTAGTCGAGGTGTATGTAAATTGACTTGAACACTCTTGACAATTGAATCAAAAAAAGAAAAAATCGATACATATACATCTTTTTCATTAAATACTTAGAGACTATTTTTCGATTGGAATAGAAAGCATTATTAGAGTTGTATAAAAAAATTCACTCTATATTTGATATAATTTTTATCAAAAATACTCTTCAAAATAGAGATGCTATTGGAGATGCTCTTTATCTAATATTGTAGTTGAATATAAAATAAATCCCAATAATAAATGGGATTTACTATCAATCAAACGAAATTAGTTCATAAAATAATTCATTAGTAAACTAAAAATCTGACAACAAATCATCAATCAAATCTACCAAATAAGATAATAATGTATATTTAAAATTCAATGCAACTGCCACCAGCTAACCACCAAGCATTAAGATTAAAATCAACTCAAACTCTACCCCACAATGCTATAGAGCAAGATTATTAATTTTGACCAATGAAAAAATTTCTGATCAAGCACCTAAATAGCAAAGCTTATAGTGAGAAGCCCTTATATCTAATAGCAAAAACCAGTAGAATAGTATAAACCCTATAAAAAATGCATAAAATGTCGTACCCCTTCAACCAAACTAACGTTGGAATAATTGAAAATTGAGAAGAAAATGCCTTGTTGACAGAACGTGACCATTAAGGCATTGTCAGAGGCATGGGGGGATGAACTTGGGTTTTAATTCTAATTGCCTTGGAAATAATTTTTCTGCATGTTAAGTAAGATTTCGTACATTCGATCTTCTGAGATCCTGCAAAAAAATCATGCATTGAACAAAAAATAATATTATATAAATTTAATTTAATAACCTGATCTATCATTGTTGTTAGATTGACAATTGATCCAATATTAATTGAGGCTCACTATCAATTTTGTTGTACTAAGATTAAAAATATTAAATCATTGAACAAAAATAAGTTTGCCCATTCATACAAGTGTCAAGAGCGTTGGGTTGTAGATTAATGGCAGCAGACAGAAGGCAATGGCTCCCACTCCCCAAGTTTAAAAAATTGTATTTTAGCCACTTGATGTTTTGTTTTGAGAAACCTTGTCAATATTAATATATTATCGTTTACAGTGAACTTTTATTGTTATGTTTCGAACAATTCAATCTCTTGTGTGTTGTTAGTCTGTTTTGTTTTACTAGTTGTTATTGTGAAATATCAATTAGGTATTTTGTGTAATGTAATTCACGTTTGCAATGGTGGTATAATTCGAGTAGGTTAAAATAATTTCACCGAAAAATTTCTCAGCATTATCAACTCTCCAATAGATATACCCACTCTTTGATCATGCATTCGATGCAGGTTTTCATGAATAAAATGCATTATCAATGTAATTAGCATATTCGGTATAGCTTGGATGCACAAACACATAGGAATAAGTTCGGCTCACCAATGCACACAACCTTCTCAGGTTTTGTTCGTAAAATAGAGAAAATTCTCGAAAAAATAACATAATTCGTCAAAAGACGCAAAGACTAGAGACTTATTTAGGAGACAACATAATTGTTTGTCTATAATAGCAAAACTATAATTATAGTAGGAAAAAATATTAAATAGAATTTCTAGAAAAAAATAGTGATTGATTTAGGAAACAAAATAAATCATAACTTCCAAAAACTAGTATGATTACAAAAAGTAGTATGTTATCCCTCATTAGCATTACTCTATCCGGCATTAGAACGGTTAGATGTCCAAATTTACGTCCATTCCTGCAGCTTAGGACCCCCACAGTCTTAGAGGTGGGGTTGTGAATTCATTGAGGTCGTTGTTTCAGCCGTGTTTTATGGTCACTCACCATTAACTTTCTTTCTTCGTCACCAGTTTCATCTTCTCTCTCTCTCTCTCTCTCTCTCTGCTTTTGGCAATCTGTAGCTTTGCTGGTGGAAATGGAGCACAACGATATTGAAAATGGAGGCTTCCCAGCTAATGGAAAGCAAGCAAATAAAATGGAAGAGTTGGGTGGATTTGACACACGACTCCAGATACTAGGAGAGAGGCAGCTTTATTCAAGCTCACTCGGTCGTCGTCAGATGGAGTCACTCACAGCCATATGTGACACCTTCGTGCCAGCTATCAACATCTCCGATGACACCATTGATGAATCTGTTCTCAGGTTCTACCAAACTTCAGCCTCCATGACAGCAATTCCACAGCATGTAAGGATTGTTCATTCTTTTGTTCAAAATTTTGCATGCCTTTCATCCTCTCTAAACCCCAAACTTTAGAGATGCTTTAGTGGTGAAGTTTGTCTCTTATTTCAGATGCAATACTTTTCACACTTCTTAAAAGACTAGTCACCCTTATTTCTTAGGAAATATATTTTCAAACTAGCTTGAGTTATGACGTCCGGCTTAGAGCTTAAGAAAATAGTCAACTGAATATTTTATAATAAGAAAAAAAATTCATAGTGACACCAAGAATCAATAATATAAATATAATTGATTAAGCTATTGATATGTAGATTGAACTATGTATATCTTTGTGTTTATGTTCTTATATCATTATTTTCGACCATTTCTAGTTCGAAAATTATCATGGTTTGAAAGGATCCGATCATTCGTCGTCAAGTTTATGTTTGGCTGTTTGGTTTTGACATGTTGATTGTGGTCCACCGAAGCCATGATCAGTCTTATTAGAAAAATTCCCTACCGACGAAACATGTGTGTGGAATCGTGGACCGGATTTTTAGATTCGGGCGCTACTTTACCTAACTAGGGTTTTCATATTTTCATCGACCTTAATTATATATTTGGATGTTGAATTATTATTATTATTATTTTAGTTGATATGAATGATTTTTGTGGTGGTTGTTTTGCACTTGCAGGTAGCATGGCAAATAAGAGAGAGAATGCAACATCCAAAGCTTTATTTGTTCCACTTGGCACTATGGTTGCTGTCAACAAGGATAGGAACTTTGATATTGTGTGGGAGAGGAAGCTTATCAAGCCATTTTCCCTACCTCCAAAAGTTCTCCGAGGTTTCACCAAAGAGAAGAGAAGAGATATTGCTTTCATGGTCTCTCAGCTTTTTCTCTCTCCTCAGAATGCTTTATGGTGCCATGAAATTTCTCACTCTGCTAGCATTCTTCACCCAGGTATACACAGTCAATACTTGTCATACTATTGTCACCCTTCCCTTTTCCTTGTTTTTTTATTAGCTCTAGGGTATTTTTATTTCATTTTAAATCATATTATGACTATAATATAAAGCAGGATAAACTTCAAAAAGTTCATCTGATAATTTTAAATAGATTCATTTAACAGCCACTAACATCTTTCTCACAACCATTCACATTGTACCATACCTTCAGACACGGGTTACTCCTAATCTATATAAAAGGCCAATGCTATACGAACCTTATTTAATAACCTTATTTGGTGATCTTGTTCATTAGATTGACAGTAAACCCTACTATTAGTTGAGACATACTATCAATTTAATAACTATGATCAATCACTTCACCAGATAAAATAACAAAAATTAGGAACAAAAACTATTTCCCTATATAAAATGCTATATTCCTATTAGGGGTGAAGTCAGAATTTTGATTCAGGCTAGAACATGAACAAAGAAACTCCACCAATTAATATAAGCTATTAAAATTTTGGACATATCTTTAAGTGCATATATAATATATATGTGTGTCTCGGTGCTTTAGACCTCCATCATCGACTTAACATTATTTCATTTCTCGAGGATAATCCATAGCAGCTTTTTGTGCAAAGTTCTTGAGCAATTTCTTTTTTAATATACATATCAAAAAGTCCACAAAATTACTATTTTTAACAACACAAACATCAAAAAATGATTCCCATACCTGACATGTATCAAATGCTTTGAATGATCATTGAAATTCAGGCATATTTTTTAAACTTGTTCCAAAAATGGGCGAAGAAGTGGATGAAGTTAGACTTTTTATGGCAATCACCAAACCCTTTTACATGCTTGGGCCACAAGAAAGAAAGGTAAAAATTAATGTGGGCACTGACTAAGAATATCATTAGTGTACGGGCAGTAACACTTGTTATATGGGTCATTCAAAATTAATGGCAGGGGGGACACTTGGCCCCTGACCTTATAGCGGCTGCACCACTGATCCCAATTCAGAAGACTCTAATCAATGTGGAATTTAAGAGAACAAGACACAATTTTATCCTTATGTCCGATAGAGGATCTAGGGAAGATAAATCTAGAAAAAGAAACCTTACAATAAGTGGAAAAATAAACTAGGTTCAAACCATTGTGCACAGCCTAAGCAAGTTGTTTTTTTGGACAAATATTTAGTTTCCCACAGAAAAAAAAAAAAGGAGTTTGGTTATAAATGATGTCCTTCTCTGTATTGTTACTGGCAATATTGTTATAACCAAATATTCATTACAACGGTGACCCCACTATTTCAAAGTGTTAGTTAGACAACATTGTGGTTATTGAAAGTTATTAAAATAGATAGATCCATTACACACAAGTGACACAGTACCATTGGTTGGTGATATCGTATGTCGATAATGACGTAATATCACCATTATTACAATGAATATTTTCTTCATGCTGAGAGCCTTCCGGCCCCAAAGTGGGTATATCATTGATACGTCTGCTAAAAAATAGAAAGGGAAATGGAAAGGGATATTAAAAGAGAAAAAAAGGGGGGGGGGGACTAATGTGATCCATGGGATTCACTGAACCCAGCATACATATTGATTTGATAAATTATTTCACATATTATTTTTTTTTGCAAGCATAGCACTAGACTTACTTGAATGTCGAAAACCTATTAAGATTCATATAAATTGTTATTTTTACTTAAAATAAATATTCTGAAAAAAAAAAACATTACCAAAGGAAATTTATATGAATCTTTGTGTATAAAAAAAGAATTCTTATAAACGTGCATATGTATCATATACCATGCATGTAATTAAACTTCAACAAAAGAAGTAGATTCGGGTAAGAAAAAAAAGGTTTATAAATTAAAACAAACGTCGACTAAAATGTATTTAAACAAGCAAAAACTATAAAACATCAAAAAAAACATTCTTAAACATTACCTTACACATGTACCCTATAATGCTACAATATGTATCAAAAACTAAGGGCCTAAGGCCCTGCAAAAATTGGAATTAAAAAAAAATATATTATTTTTACCTTAGTTACCTAATCTAAGTTAATGGATACGCCAAACTTGTACATGATAATAGTTTAAACACGAAAAATGTTATTTGGACATAAAAATTTGACATAATTTGTTGACTTAATGACGTGATTTTATCAAGTTTTAATGTTTGATGGGACTTACAGTCAATCCAAAGATCACAATAAATTAGATCAACAAATTAGGTCTCAATATCGGTGCTCGTTTAAATAAACATCTTCTAATGCAAAACCTACCAAAATTTAATGCTTTGGCATTGAAGCGAGAGAAGATGGGCATTGAATAAAAAATATTGGCAAAGGACATTAACTGATGCATCAGGTTGGTTGACGTTGAGTTTTCAGTACTTTTTTTATTTTTGTAATGGGGGGCCAATGCTACGTGGACGGGACCTAATAAAATTATTAAATTAGTCGCGACTATTGAGTGAAGCTCATTTTTAATTAAACGGCGGTAATGGATTAGGTTATTAAATTAAGTCAAATAGTAATTTTTTTTTTTTTTGTAATTTTAAAGAGTGTCAAGGGTAACTTTGTTCTTAAAAATTATTCATACATACCCATCTCCGAAATAGGTTGTTATCTAATACAATTTGAATTATTAGGTCCCGACAGCAAATGAAATCAATTTTAAATTTAATGATTAAAATCCTTGTCCTCAAATTAGATAAAAGTAACATTATTGTTACTACAAGGTCCGACCAAGGGGGAAGACAAGCTTTCATCCCTCTAAAGTCACACTTTACGAATTCAAGTTGGGAAATTAGATAAATTTTGTAAGTTTTTAATACAGTTTGGGGGGTCATTTATCTCTTTTGGGATAATTTGTGATTGATCATAAAATTGTTTAAATTAATTGTAAAATGTTAGAATCGATCCAAATAATTTTAAAATCGATGCAAAGTACCCAAAAAAAAAAAATTGTCACTTGACCACATAAAGTTATAATTTGAACTCTAAATGTAGTAACATAATCCAAAAAATTATGAACTTTTTTTGTTGTAAATACAAAAGACTTATAAAATTTAACAGTACAATATCAAATTTTTTTTTTTTAAATCTTCTCCATTTTCGTGACATTGCGGTGCATGACTTGTATTATCATAAGGTATTTACTGTTGGCTATAGTCCAACAATTGTCCTTATGAAGTTAGTTTATGTACTAGCATGACTCTTATAATCGATCATTGGTCCGAACACTCCTGACGGCAACCACTAAAAAAAAACATCTCAGAATCAACCTTTTTGTTTTTTTTACTCACTCTTGATATTTAGAGATGGTTTTTGAGGGTCACCAGTGGCTCAGTCGGACCAACACATTAAGTTGCGCTCTAGAGGCCCATTGGGAGTAATCATGGTCCGTGCTTTTCTTCACGGACTAGCCCGACTCAGGTGATTGACCAGCCACTCTCCGATTGCCCAGTCTGTCCTTGGCTGAGTAGGCCGTACCTGTTACCACGTCCTCGTGATTCTATTGGTTTGCTTTTTAATTGATGTCGTAGTAAAATGTGGCTGAAGGCTTGCCATTAAATTTCAGGTGAATGAGAAGGACGAGAATCCATCCTGGAAGGCAATAGGCTACTGCGGACCTGATCCAGACTTCAAAACTCAGATTAGGAAAATCGAAAGATCAACAGAAATGGAATATCAAAGATCAACCTACAATGAACAAGAGGAGGACTTAGATGAAAAAGAGATGCTTGGACCTCTTTACAAAGGAATCATCGATATAAGGCAACCACTAAAAGTAGTAGCAGAATCCCTAAAACGATCAGGTTTCCAGGTCTCAATGTACCATGGGAAAAATAAAAGTTCATATTCATTCAATCCTTCCTTAACTATCAAGTGTGATGCAGTTGTAATTGGTTCAGGCTCTGGTGGTGGTGTTATTGCCGGAGTTTTAGCAAAAAGTGGATACAAGGTGCTTGTCTTAGAAAAAGGGAACTATTTTGCTAGGAGCAATCTCTCACTTCTTGAAGGACAAACTATGGATCAAATGTACCTAGGCCATGGGCTACTAGCAACGGATGATATGGGTGTAGTAATACTTGCAGGTTCCACCGTTGGTGGGGGCTCCACCATAAATTGGTCGGCTTCCATTCAAACTCCCCCACATGTAATCAAAGAATGGTGTGAAATCTATGGACTAGAATTATTTGGCAGTCAATTGTACAAAGAAGCCATGGATACTGTTTGCCAGAGAATGGGAGTTCAATCACAGGTTGATGATGAAGGATTCAACAATATGGTTTTGAGAACAGGGTGTCATGAAATGGGTTATCCTGCAAATACTATCCCTCGAAATTCAACCCCTGATCATTATTGTGGATGGTGCAGTCTCGGATGTAAAGATGGAAGAAAGAAAGGTACCTCAGAGACATGGCTAGTAGACTTGGTGGATTCGCTCAACGGAGCAATTCTTCCTAGGTGTGAGGCCATAAAGATCCTACGTAAGCACGAAAAAGGAAGAGATCGACCCATTGCAACAGGAGTTGCTTTTGAATTCCGTTGTCAAGGGATGAAAGAAGTTTGTGTGGTGGAGTCAAAGGTGACTATTGTGGGATGTGGGGCTCTGTGCACTCCTACACTCCTAAGAAGAAGTGGCCTGAAGAATCCAAATATTGGCAAAAATCTGCATCTTCATCCAGTAACAATGGCGTGGGGCTACTTTCCAGATGCACACTTGTCCAATGCATGGCCAGCCCCAGAGAAGAAGAGCTATGAAGGGGGCATAATGACAGCAATGTCCACAGTGGTGGGAGATTTCAAAAAATCTGGTTATGGTGCAATCATACAGACACCAGCATTGCACCCCGGGATGTTCTCAGCTTTGATGCCTTGGGTTTCAGGTACGACTTAACAAATTACCATCCCAACTATTTGGAATCAGTTACATGAATCAAGTTTCTTGCTCTATAGAGGGTTATATTTTGTCATTAACCCACAAATGTCTTGAGTTTCAGGTATCGACTTTAAAAATCGAATGTGCAAATTTTCAAGGACTGCCCACATAATTGTATTGGCAAGAGACATAGGGTCGGGAGAGTTGGCCTCACCGAGCTCGATCAGTTACCGGATGGACTCTACTGATGAAGACCATCTAAAGAGAGGACTAGAGAAGGGCCTGAGGATATTGGCATCAGCTGGAGCTGAGGAAATCGGAACTCATCATCGTAACGGAAGGACATTAAACGTGAAACAAGTGAGCTCTCATGCATATGAGAGGTTCGTCAAGGAGGAGAGTTCAAATGCATTAATGAACCTTTCAACTACTATAGCTTCAGCACATCAGATGGGGAGTTGCCGAATGGGAGTCGATCCAAAGGGCTCTGCAGTGAATCCAATGGGAGAGACATGGGAGGTAGAGGGACTGTATGTGGCAGATTCAAGTGTCTTTCCAACTGCATTAGGTGTGAATCCAATGGTCACCATTCAGGCCATTTCTTACTGCACTGCACAGTCAGTTCTTGAAGCTCTGCGGAGAAAGAAGAACGAGTGATGAATGAAATTACAGCTTCAAGCTTGCGATTTATTTAATTCTATGGACATGAACAAGGAATATAATGCAGTGGAAAGTTGATTTTTTTAGCATACTGCTCATTACTGCAGTATTTTGGTTGATATCCCCTCTGTAGTGACATTAACATCATGTTGTAAATTTTGGTTCTATTTTGTGGATTCCAAGTGCATTGGATGGAAAAATAAGTTCTGATGGTTCTGCTGCAATATCATGGAATTCCAACAATTCAAAATGCCTTTATAGTATCAACAAAGGATATACCATCCATGGCCGAATGCAAGGAATAAGATTTTCTTTATGTTTTGTGTCATTTAGTTTTTATTTTCATTGTTTGTTGGTTGCTTTCTCTCTATTTCAGGAATAACCGATTTGTTGCATGTATTTTTTTTCATCTTCAAAGTAAATTGAGTAAATTGAGTTTGACATTCTGCGGATAAATATTTTTTTAAGGAGTGATAACAAAAGTAGTTGACCTAAAAATCACATAATTTGCTAGGGCTCTCAGAAACATAGTATGATGAAATGAAATTTTTTGTCTTCACTCATTAGTTTATTAAACTATTTTTGAGATTCAATCACATTTGACTTCCTTAGGCACTTATCTCAATTTTATGTTTGTTCTTTATTCTAACTTTGACAATTTGTATTTGACACTCTACGATGAAGCATGATATAGGGGTGCAACTTGAGTTGGACAACTCGATTTCAACCCAAAAAAATTAAGGTTTGAGTAAGAGTTTTTAATACTTGGGTTGGATTTTGGGTCAAAAAACTCCAACCTGAATTCAATTTGGGTTGGGCTTGGGTTAACGTCTTGTGTACCTGAATTCAATCCGAACCCGATAAATTAAAAAAAAAATAAAAAAATAAAAAAATATTTATATACCAAAATAGAAACAAGTGCGGAATAATAACAGACATGATTTAGGAGAATCACAAGCTGTAAATATATGGAATTAAAATTCAAAAATTTTTTATAAAAATTTCTTGTTTAAATGAACAAGATATAAATTACAATAACTGAAATAAATACTTACAATACTAGCACTAATGGGCTAGTAGAGGTAAGGGGATAGGAGTGAGAGGCTCTTCATTTGCATCATTATGAAGGCTTCTTACAATATAGGAAATAGTGAGTTGTGTATAGGGAAGGCTTAGGAGAGCTTTCAGGTTACAACTCTGAAGTTTTTTGAACTTCTCCTTTCTTGAAGCAATTGCTAGAGGCTAAAAACTTGCTTAGATAGTGAAGACTGAAGTCCTTATATAGAGGTAAGGAGTTTTGAAGGAATCTTTGAAATGATTACTCCGTTGTCTTCATTGGATGCTTTATCTTAGGTAAAGTGGTTTCACCTTAGCCTTTCGGTGGAAAAGTAAAGGTGAATTACTTTTTTCCATGTGAATGTTGACTTAAATGACAGGTGGGTCTTGCTGTTGTTGAAAATAATCTACTTTCGGTGGAAAGCAGATTTTGACAGATGACTGATGACATCTTTACTAGAGGAAAGAGCGGGGTGCCAAATAATATCTCATCGATATATATAATAGACAATTTTTCTTTTTTTTATTGAAAAAAGTAGTGATTGAAGCTATCACACATATAGACAAGTATCATTATGGGGTAGATATATCTACCAGATCATCATATCCTTCATATGGATCCTGACTGTCTTGGAAGGGATCTAATGTAGGGGTGACTGATGCTTGTAATGACGCAGAGGAACTGTTTTCACTGGTTGCTTGTTGAAGAAGCTTTTGTGCTAGTTCAATAAGGGCAACTGACTTCTTCTTGGATTGCTTGCTAGAATCCTTAGAGGAGGATTTCTTTTGCTTGGGTTCTTCCTTAGTAGATTTCTTGGGTTCTTCTGGAGTAGAAATCCTGAGAGGAGGCATGACTTGTCTGACTAGAGTTGTTGGGGTTGCCTGAACCACTACTAAGGTTGGGACCCTGACTGGAAACTCCTGTTTGACATGGTCTACTATTAGTTCTTGCTGGAACCTAGGCCATCATTTGACGTAAAATTGTCTGGCGACATTATAACCAATAATTTCCTATTTCTATTTGTATATCCATGGGACTTTGTACCTGTAAATAAATGTTAATAAAATAGGAAACTGACTCTCATGTTTACTAGGTCGATAAATAGAAGAGAAGACTATAATCTGATTTTAGAAATCAGCTGGAAAGATTTCATGAATGAGGCCATGAATAAACCACCACTGTGCGAACCAGGATGGAATCTGACTCTTGAAATCTTTATGAAATTGTAGGAACCAAGAATGATCGCAAAAATCATTTTGGTAGAGTATAAGTTTAAACCATGATTCTTTATAATCATAGTAATTAAACTTTCTCTTATGATAGGGTAGATCCCGGAGGGAAGAAGGATGAGATTCCCAATCTTTGAGAGAAATAATTTTTAAAATATGTAGTGAATGATAAATAATTTTACTTGGGTCAATTTGATCAAGTATGGGCTTGACGAAAATGGACTGAGTATAGAATAGGATATCCTGATAGAACTGAAAGGTCTTTTCAGGGTCAGATGGAATAAAAGTTCATCCTGGCTCAAGGTAGGCTGTGACTAAGTCCATTGGGTTGCTTAAGTGAACATGAACTGGTTCAATAACAAATATATTTTGGGTATAAGCTTTGATGCAGTCAGTTGTTGGGCCTTTTGGGGGCAAACTAGGGTTTGTGCCTAGAATATGAGTTTGATAATTGGCTAGTGCCTGCCTGGTTGGAATGGTACAACAGGTCTTGGGGCCTGCTGGGCCATTTGGAGGAAAGTGCTAGGTGGCACTATAGTGGATTTGGTTACGGGCCTTGTTCGGTTAGGATTACATAGGGGTTGGAAACGGTTGGTAATTTGGATAGCAGAGGATAAAGGTTTTGGGCTTGGCAAGGCTAACTATTTATCCAGGTTTGCCTTTTCTTGAGCAAATATCTGACTAAGTTTTTTCTTTCCAGTATCCCTCCCGGCTTTAGAAGAAGTACTGGGGTTATTATCTTTCCTGTCCGCCAAGAGGTTCCTACATAAATTCTCTGGTTAGGAAATCAGAAATGCAGTTATTATTGCCCTTAATATATTCTATATCAAAATCAAAAATACTCAAAATAGATTGCCATCTGGCAAAAATTTGTTTACTAGCAATGTTTTGTACGTCTTTTTGTAAAACATACTTTGCTGATTTGCAGTCTATTCTGACTAAAAATTTCTGATTTAATATATCATCCTGGAATTTCGAGATACACAGGACAATAGTTAAAATTTCTTTTTAATTGTACTATAATTTGCTTGTGTCTTATTCCAGATACCAGAATGGAAAAAAATAATTTGTTCTAGTGAGTCTGGAGAAAGTTTTTGAAGTAGGATACCACCGTAGCCAATGTCGGAGGCATCAATTTGGATGATTTTGAAAGAATCAACCAAAGGAATACCAAGGCAAGACAAAGTTTTAATGAACTGCTTGACTTGTTGAACTATGAATGTATGAACAGATGTCCAAGGAGAAGGATTTCCTTTGAGTCTTTCATACAGAGGTTTGACGGTTTTTCTAAGATCCTGATAAAAGTCAAAAACATAATTTAGGGAACCTAAAAACCTTTGAAGTTGGGTTTTATCTGTGATCTCATCAGTGAACTTATCTGCAAATCGGATAGAACGATTGATGAGAACAATAGTGGACTGTTGGATGTTATATCCTAAGAACCTTATTGAGGTTTGAAACAACTTAATTTTACTGGCTGAGATGACAAGACCATTGTGTTTGACAATCTCAAGGAATGCATAGAGGTGCTTCCAATTTTCTTCTATAGATCTGGAGAAGATGAGAATATCATCTATATAGACTATAGAAAAATGACTAATGGAATTAAAAATTTCATTCATTATATTTTGAAAATTCACTAGGTGCATTTTTCAATCCAAAGGGCATTACATTCTATTCGTAATGACCAAAAGGAGTTGTGAATGCAGTTTTATACCTATCTTCTGGATAGATTTGAATTTGCCAGTAATCACTTTTCAAATCAAATTTGGAAAAGATTACTGAATTATTAAGTCTTTTAATTAAATCCTGCTTGTTTAGAATTCGGTACCTGATCCATTCCAATACAGAATTTAAAGGCTTATAATTGATTACTAATCTTGGTACGCCTCTTTCTAATTCTGCATTTTTGATGACATAGAAAGCTGGGCATGACCAAGGAGATTTACTCTTCCTAATGATACCATTTTTGAGTAATTCAGAAATCTCTTTTTTGCAGATTTCTATTACTTCATGGTTCATTTGGATAGCTTTGGATTTAGTGGAAATATTTTGTTCCTTAAATCTTTGAATGTAGGGAAGTTTTACCATGTGTTTCTTTCTATGCCAAAAGGCTGTAGGAATACTAGAACACACTTCTTCTTCCACTATAGTTTTGAACTGGTTAATTCTTCCAATTAAGGTTGGATTTGTTAACTGTTCTTGAATTCTTTTGTGATTAATTTCTTTTTTGAGAAATTTCACTTGCTTAGTTTTTTGGCTAAAAAGATTAAGATACTTAGAGATTGAATGATCTTTAAGTTGTTTTAATTTTTTAACTTCTGGTTTGGTTGTAAATTTGAATGTTACTGTCTGACCAAGTAAGTTTGTGGTTACACCATTTGTATCTGTTGTAAATGGATACAATAAGTATACAAAGGGTAAACCAAGGATAACTTCATCAATCATATCTTTTACTAAGATAAATGATGTTTTAAAACATACATTATTTTGACAGATATGCACACTTGGTAATTTGTATTTGACATTCATTTTACTACCATTTGCTGAACTAAGTCTTTCAATGGTTTTTTGATAGTACTTAGTTGGAACACTACCTTCCTGGATGCAGTTTACATCTGCACCAATGTCAATTAAGGCAATAGTTTATAATTCAAAATCATTATCGATGATGATTTTTACCTTAGAATGCCATTTTCGAAATTAATTTTATTAACTAGATTAATCCTATGATCATCATTAATCTGGGAACATCCATCGTGAGATGACAGGTTTGTTACACCCAAAGGATCCACTAGAGAGGTGGAGGTTATGAGTATCCCCTGTAAGTCTGTTCCATCCTGAGATTTTGTCTCAGATTGTTCTTTAACTATTGGCTGTTTTCCAGGATTAAATTCATTTGTGTCGCCAAGACTATCTATTGTTAAAAGAGTTAAAGATTCTGCAGGTTTCTTGTCTTGAATTTT